GTTTTTTGTTTTAGTATATATATATATATATATATATATATATATATATATATATAAAGTTATAATAAAAAACCATTAAACATGACAAATCCCATTTGTTTTGATAATGGACCTCTTCCCCCATCACTCCTCGACAAAAAAAAAGGAGTCGCACAATTTACAGCAGAAAGGCTCTAAACAGCTGGATTTACCTTCACCAACTCCTCTCAAGAGCCACTCATTCCCTAAAACATTGCAAAACAAGGTAGGCTCATTAAAGAAAAAAACAAACAAACATACCATACACATTTTTTTGTTTTTTGTTTTAGACAAATTGATTGTCTGATGTCCTGATGCCATTACTATTATTCTACTATTGTCATTTCTGACTCTTAAAATGAGTGTACATGTGTACATTGTCTGTCATCGTATCAATGCCTCATCTGTGGCCAAAATGGCCGGATGAATGATGTGTGAGTTTCGACCTGACGTGCGAAAAGAGGTGTAAAAAACGGGGTTGCATTTAGTTTCAGATTTGAAAATTGCCTAGCATGTGGTAAATATTAACATTTGCATATTCTCCTCCAGCAATAAACCTTCAAAGTTGTGTCATTACAATATGATCCCCATATTGATTAAGACAAGAAATGCAGAAAAGCGAGTGCATATGCCGCCTGATGAATCTTCTTTGAAGACCATCCCTACAAACACGTCTGAACTAGTTTTAAGACGTGAAAACCTTTTGAAAATCAGTCTGTTAGACTATTTATGATGTCTAAATGTCCTTAAATATTTTGTTGATTATCTCTAACACACATAGAATACATATAGACTTAATTATACCATACTAATAAGGAAATTGCCTTCTTTTACTCTATACAATGAAACCCTACAGTTTTAAAGTCATCATCAAGCCCCTGGGATAAATCTGGGCTGTTTCTCTCATCCTTCTATAAAGTTAGAACTCATTTCAGTGGACAGGTTTTCTTATTTGCGCCTTGATTTTAGGCATAGACCACTAATTATTAATTGGGTCGAGGTTGATGATCTACACTTCAACCATCTGTTAAAAATAAAACCTTTCCTAGATGGCATACAGTGTCTTCTTGTAATTGCAGCACCTTTTGCTTTTTTCTTTTACTTAGTATTTAGTTTAAGCATTTATAGATCCTGGGTTGCTCCTGCACATCCTCACTATTGTTCCTTTTACATTTGATCCTCAGATATTTGAAACCTGTGTGTTTTACAGGATATTATCCAAAACAAACATTATCATTAATTTTGGAAAGGTCTTGCATAGACAGACTTAGAGACAGATTTATTTTGTCATTTTTTATGCACGAGTGTATACAAAAAGAAATTTAGTTTAAAACAGCTCTAGACGATTTCATTTTTTAAAGTGCAGCCTTGAAAACAGTAATAAATACATAAAGAAATTGTAATATAAACATATGACTGTATATTTACAGTTCTAACATTTTGCCTTTTGAATGCATGAACCTCTGCATGACATCTCTTCACCTAATTCTTGTTTTAAGTAATTAGTGAATTTGGTTAAATTATTCCACACTGGAATAATCTTTTATTAGAAAGCAGAAATTACATTTGCTTTCATGTCTTTGACAGTATACAGACTTCTGAACAGAACATCTTGTTGGTTCTATTGTTTCTAGATGGTGCTGATGATGCTGAGCAAACCTCCTTGAGGGCTGGCTGTTTAAAAAGGCTAAAACAAATCCATGCCCAGCTCCAGAGACAAAATGGACATGAGAAAAACTCAGATGAAACCAGCAGTCAGATCAAAATGCAGAATGAGGGGTCAGAGCCTCAGCTGGCAGACTGCACCCCACTACTCCTGAGACATCTGCTGGAACTTCAGGAGGTCCAAGATTTAGGGCTACTGGAAGTGCTCCTGCACCGGGTGAGAAAACCTTCTATTTAATGCAGGTTTGAATATTAATTCTCATCAATGTAGAGATAATATTAAATTAATAATAATAAAAAAAAAATTTTCAGGATTCAAAGGCTGCTCAAGCTTTTAGAGAACAGTATGAAGCTGAAATCAAAACAAAACGCTTCACCAACCTGCACAATCTCTTAATCTCAGATGACCCTCTAACACTTGGCTCCATGGGAGCTGAAAATTACAAACACTTTGGACCTCAAACATCTTGCACAGCTGAAGTTGAAAACATCTGTGCAGGATCAGTTCCAGCTACAATGTCTGACTCAATCATTAGAGCCAGCGAGGAATGTGTCGAAGTCCCAACAACTGATGGTTCTGTTGAACAGGAAGTCTGCTCAGGTACCCATATTACAAGCACAAACAAAAACAGAAAGTTCACAGACCTGCCTGAGACTATAACCTGCTTTGCGATCTCTTAGGTTGTGGGGCGGTTATAGAGGAGCTGCCATACCTGGAGATCTTATGTGTGCCAGATGCACAGGTCAGGGCTCATGTTCCAGAGGCTGGAGTCTGTAGGGAGGAAGATGACAGTGAAACAAACAGCCATCAGAGCTTTGAGAAACAGGGATCCTTGATCCCCCTTGCTTGGAGCAAACAAACGCAGGATGAAACAGACTGTATGGTAGTGGTTGGAGATGAAGAAGCAGCACAGGGTCAGGACACCTTGGGCAGCATAGGAATCCTAGCCCAGTCCAACCCACTTGAAGAGAAGGCTCAGGAGAAAGATGGTGATGAGGCTTCAGCTCAGCACAATGTAAGTTTGCACATCTGCAGCGGAAGAAAGAAGAACTCCACAACTAGCACCCCGTATAGCATCCTCACTCATTTATTTGATTTTTTTTTTCTCCTTTGTTTTAAATAATTGGACAAGAATCCAATCATAGACCAACCAGATGAAGTAGAAGTTGTAGCTGAAAAAGATCCTGAAACCATGCTGGATGTCTGCCCACATGTTTCAAATGATTCCTTTGAGTACAGTGATGAAGGAGCATCCGACCTCACCGCCAGCGGCAGCAGAGAGATAACAGAGTCTGAGCTCTGGGATTTCAGCCGAACAAAACTCTCCAACCATGAGGTTTGTGCATCCCTAGAATCAACAATAAATAAATATATATATATTTTATGTATCAACAGCGTATCACTTTTAGTCAATTCTGCACTTGTGGTGAGATGCTTCAATACCTTCACCATTGCTACGAATCACATATTCATTTGAGGATGTAAAGGTTTCATTACAAAAGTGTTACTTTCAGTATGGAAAGTTTTGAAATATAACTATTTAATCATGTGCACCTGATTTGCAAACTGAGTTATACAGACCAGCTTTAAAATCTTTCAATCAAAACATTTTGTGGCACAGGTTAACTGATTTTAGATACACTTTCAATACATGCATTAACTCCACTAATATTTGGTCAAATGTCTCTTGGCATGTTGCCGATAAACCAACACATTCAGACCCATGCATTAAATTAGAATACTACTGAGAAGTGTGTATTTAATCTATGTGAAACACATATTTAAACCCTGACATACTGATGGGTTTAAGCCTTCATTTTTGTTCATTATAATCTCTGATTACAGCTCACAAAAACATTGCAGATTAAAATGTGACACCAGACTAATAAAATACTATTTTATTGCTGAAATCTTGGCTTTATGGAATAATGTTTATACCAGTTTGAAGGTTCTTTCCAATAGGTACTCCAAACCTGATAATAAAGTCTTAGCTTAGGACTAATTTTATTTATTAAATAACTGCTCACTGTAAAAATTCACAAGCTTCTTGCCGAACGGTTAAAGGCTTTTCTTGATTGGTTGGTTTCCTTTTAACTCTTATTGCATTTAAAAAGCCCACACATTTTTAATAGGGTCATGGTTCATTTTTTGATAATTTCAGGTCAATTTGTACTTGGTTTGTTCAGTCCAGAAACTCCAGAAACAGATATTTTTTACAGTTAAAATACCCAATTTTGTCCAAGCCTACCTGTCGCTTTGTAAAGATAAAGTATCTCACTAACTGGTCCCTCAGCATGTTACTACCACCGCTATGCTCTTTGAAGCCTCAATTCATTCCACCAAATATGGGTCTTGTCACTTTGGGTAAATAGCTCAACCTTTGTCTCATCAATTTATAAAACTTTGCTCTTGACGGCATTCAAACTGTCTAGCAAAAAGCTCCCCTCATACTTCGATGTGCGTGTTCTGGAGTCATTGATTCCTTTTTGCTGGAACCCTCTCAGTCCATTGAGAACTTTCTTCACAGTGAACATCTATAAGATTCTAGTTTGTTTCTCAGCTGTGGTAGTTCTTGAAATGTTCAACTGATTTTATTTTGCATATCAAACACAACTGAGGTTGGAGCGGATAAAGCAAACATGAGGATTTTTGTATGACCAGGTTATCTAAAGGTTTAAACTTAGTCATATTTGAAATTCAGGATTTATAAAACAACAAATTTAAATGGCATCTACCAGCTGAACCAAGAAAGGGGCCATATATCTTTCTAGATTTATGCCACCTTGTTGATATCCACTAAATTATTGGTTTCCCTGCAACCTGCTAAGAGACAATCCAGCAAAGTAAGCGTAGGTGTTTCGTGCACTCTGTTGATTTGTTTTTGGACCAGGAAAATGACATGTTAAAATGTGTCATAAGACCCAAAATTAGCCTGAAAGCTCAACCCATGAAAGGTGTGATTATTGCTCTAACCGGCAAATTATTCCTTATATATAGTTTCTCGTTCATCTATTCGTGCAGGAGATAGAATCCAGGGAGAAAAAAGAAGAAATAAGACACCAAGCAGTGGAAAGAGAGAAAACAATGCGCAACCTGGTGGACATGCAAAGAAAGTTTGAACAGAGGCATCAAAGAGACAAAGAGAGACAAATGTTTAGGGTGAGAATGGTGAAAATAAGGACAAAGTACTCTCAGAGAAATATTTTCACTAATAGCATCTGTTATTCCAGGTTCAGGAGCGTCTCTCCATCATCCAGAACAGAAAGGCGGAGGAGGATCTACTTGGCCTCAAACACACAGAAAGGCTAAAGCATCTGACACAAGACCTACCTCTGGTAACAATGTAAATTAATTGCTAACCATAACTTTGTGTTCGGGGTAATTACAATGTGACATGTAATTATGTTAAAGGAGGACAAGATCCAGCAGAAGACTGTTGTTAGAGAGCGATTAGAGCAGCTCAGAAGAGAGCGCTCCTACATCATGCAGTCAAAAAGAGACAGGTAAATGGGAACACTTTGGGGGAAAATTAAAGCAAAAATGACTTTTTAAATTGCTGTGCTTGTATTTATCTTCAGGAATACGGCCGGATTTAAGGAACTTCTAGCTCCTGTGGTCCTGCACACCAAAGAGACAGAAGATGGAGCAAACTGAGATACAAACAGTTTAAGTAGTTTGATCCCATTGTTGATAAAATCCTTTCTGTAGAACATGGACATTGCTTAGTTCTGTGAGAAACAAAATTCTTCAGCTTTTTTTTTTTATTATTAACTTGCATATCAATGAGTTGAATGCAAAATGTAGTTTTCTTAAGTGTTTCTACAGGAAAACCTAATCAGAACCCACATGGCCCTACATGTTAAAGTTCCTCTTGACTTAAAAGCTGCCTTTGCCATTAGTCTGTTATATCTTCAAAGAAATGTTGGCCCTCTCCACCTTGTAGAGATGTTTTCACCCACATAAAGTGTTGGAGTATGCTTTAAGGCTACGTCTTTAACTGTCTTTGTTGAACAATTCAGAGGTGAGCTTGCAGGTGTGCTTTGGATCATTGCTCTGCTGCATCGTTAGGGCCAAGAAGCGATGGGGATAATTGAGGCCTTTTAATTTTATTTTTTTGGTAAATGTGAAAGGAGCCTGTGTCCTTGTAGGTTTGCAGTGGATTTCACCTTGTATTTTCCCTATAAATTAAATTATTTCTTATAAAATATTTAAACCCAATAATCATGTAAATTACATTACAAAGAACCAACGCACTACATATTTGACATAATCGTAGCTTAGTTCCTTTGTGGAACATTTTAAGGCAATGGTTATGACTGAATAGACTGAGATTCACATATGCAGTAGTTTAATATACATTTTAATAACTTTGACAACCATAAGCATCAACAATAATGAAATTCACTAGAACTCCCTTTCACTGTGCACATTAACCCGAGTAGCCAGTTACATACACAATGAGTCACAGAGGTGCATTTAAACATCCAAGAGTGGCTCCAGATAAATTTTGTGTGAACATTTACATTTAATTGTTGAACATTGATTGTGTCAGAAAATTAACTCAAGACTAACACCCCTGTAAATTTTAAATGCGCGCAATGACTGGTACTGTTTTTATTTACAGATATGAAAATGTAACATTTGATGGAGGGATGGTTTGGCTAATAACCATACAATAGGAAGATGTATATATACAGAAGGTTGAGTGTGTGCAAAGCAGTTTCCCTACAATACAGTTCAAGTAAGAGGAGGGAAATAAGTATATCAGATTCTATACGAACATTTAGGCTTTTCATCCTCATCTCACTTTATTTGGTATCCAATGTCCTTGCTGTTTAGCACAAAGCAGTAACACAAACCAGCACACTAAGGTAGAACATTCTAGAACAGTTCCCACACACTGGGCCACTGCATTTCAAACAAAGTGTGTCATCAACACTAATAAAATCTGCAAGGCTTGTGGTTTCAAACACACGTATACACACCAACAAGATAAAGTTTACATTCCAGAAAAATGGGAAAAAATAAAATTCAAATGCGCCAGGTGCTTTAAAAATTGTTTTGAAACGACTAGAAACTGAAAAGAAAAAAAACAAGCAAATTACAGAATGTCATAGCACAACCAGAGGTTGAACTACTGTATCATAAATTAGAGGCTGGTTAAATATTTTTGAATGGTTTTCTAATCTGATTAGCTGACTCAAATGTCTTAAAAACTATACAGGTTTCAGTCTAGTCGCCATGGCCACTAGAAGAAAACAGTACAAGCTTCTTTTGGATGAATTATGCCAATTTTATATATTTGCCAGAATTTGAAGTTTCAGACCAAACTGTTTTACAGAGGGGTTAATCCTAGGATGAAAAAAGCCTACCTTGCATTCAAGACTTTACAAACTTAATCTAAAGGCTTTCTTTACCCAACCAGGAACTCTGAGGAGGCATTGGGACCATGGAACTGACAAGGGAGACTAGTGTACTTTGTTTTTTTTTTATTAGGATTTTATGCATTACCTTGTCACTGGAGGCATGAAAGAGAAAGGTGTGTGTGTGTGTGCATCAGGTATCGAGTAGTGCTAATAATGGAACTTGAAGGTTTCTTTTTTTGAAAGTCTATGTATGAGTCTTTCTACTGGTGCGCACACTGCACCCCCGGGCCATGATGGCCCCCTTCATCATCAGAGCTATCATTATACGCCTCTCTCCTGCCTCCACAGCCAGAACTTTGACTTCTGTCAAATTCTGCGAGATCGACTTCTTCAGCATCTGCAGCGATGTCAGGATTGTCAGCACGGGCTGGAAGAAGGTTCTCCAAGTCCTTAAAGAGATACAGAGAGTTAAAACTAAAAAATTGACTTAATTATTTTAAGAAGTTCTTAAATGGAAGCTCACATTCAGTTTGTCAGGACTGATCCAGTTGCTTTCTGGGAACTGAACATCAAACTTGATGTAAAGATCTCCTTTTTCAAATGGATTTCTGTACTGAGGCATTCCTTCTCCTTTCACGACTCGAACACAACCTGTCACCAAGACAATCAAGTCAATCAGAGAGCAAAAAAAAAGATTTACAATTTATATCTGTACACATTACTAATCTAACAGCAGTACTGCAAATGCAGAACTATAGGGTGAGATTTAATCTAAGGTTGGAAAATTCATTTAATTTGGGGATTTTTTTTTCTCTCTACAAATTCACTCCTTGGGCTTCCAGCTCAGCAGAACATCAATGCATCGCTTTATTTCCCCCCTCTTAGGTGTCATTTCATAACAAACTGCTCTGCTAATCTTCCATTAACCCTGAGAAGCTTCCCCCTTCCTTGCCAAGCATGATTCAGCCCCCACCATGTTTGACTCTAGGCACAGTGTGTACAGGGTTATATGCTGTGTATATGAATAACAGAAGCTTAACAAAACGTTTACCTGGCTCAATGACCTTGCCAGGTGGATATTTGACCAGCAGCTGGCGTCCATCCAGGTGTGTGATGGTGATCTGGAAGCCACACAGTGCCTCAACAAGGCCAATGCGTTGCACCATGTGAAGGTCATTGCCATCACGTCGAAATTCCTGTTTAAATAAAAATCCCGAGGTTTTAAACTCATTACAAAAAAAAAAAAATGCAAAAAAACAAGAGTCAGCTGTAATTTACAGTAGATTACCTCATGGTCTTTCTCCTGAAGAACAAGGACTATATCTCCAGGTTCCACACCTGGTGCCTGGTCAGCTTCCCCAGAGAAGGTGATCTTCTGTCCGTGCTTCATACCTTTGTCCACATGAACCTCTAGTAGTTTTGTCTCCTTGCAAACCTTCTGTCCCTCACACTTTTTGCAGCGGTCTTTCTCATTTATCACCTCCCCTAGAAAAAGAAACAATACTGTTCACAAAAAGTCCTTCTGGGTTCTTACTGGGCATTGTTTGTCTTTCTGAGTACTGGGCTGTTAGCTTGTATGAAAAGTGTTACCCTCTCCGTTGCAGTCGGTGCAGACGGACTGCATTTGCTGTACCATCCCTGGTGCCAGCTGTCTGATCATGATTTTCATTCCTCTTCCTCTGCATGTCACACATTTCTGTACCGCTCCTGCCTTACCCCCTTGACTACAAGTCAATAGGTACAAATAAGCAGTTTCATTAAATGTGCTCCAGATATTACAAGCTGTTCAAAATAAATCAACTGAAAGAGAAGTGAAATTATATCTTAAACTAAATTAAAATCTTAATCGATATCCGCTTATTGTAGTTCTACACCTACAATACCAAAGGACCCGTCTGTGTAGCCAAATGCAGGTTTACGACCCGAGCGCCAGGCCCAACTAATTAACCAGTTCATATCAGCTTATCAAGCATGTTTTACCCAATGAGGAGAATGGCAAAAATGTTGACTACTCTGCCCAGAAGTATTAACAAAATACAAATAAATAAAAAAATAAATAAATAAAAAAAACAACCCCTTTGAGAGATTAGAGATTCAAATCTTAATCCAATTTATAAACAGAGTATAAAACTGGACTCACCCATTACAGGCGCTACACAATACATTCTTACTAAGCTGCAGTTTTGTAGTTTTTCCGTTGTACAGGTCCTCAAGGGAAACTCTGGGATGAGAAAAGAGTTTTTAGAAAATAACAGGTTAAAATTGAAAAACCTCCTAGATCAGTTAAATTACTTGGAAAATGTAAAATACGCACTTCAGAGGGTGCACCATATCCTCCCCTCTCCTCTTGCCCCCATTGCTTCGACTGCCACGTCCACCCATGAAACCAAAGAGACCTCCACCAAAAATGTGAGAGAAGATATCGTCCATGCCGGGGCCTCCTCCGCCTCCCTCCCGAAGTCCCTGCTCTCCATAGCGATCATAAAGCTCCTTCTTCTCTGGGTTTGTCAGCACCTCATATGCAAAACTTATTTCTTTAAACTGCAAAAATTAAAACAAAGAATAATTACAAAACAAGATACATAGAAAAATTGACTAAGTGATGCAAATGCAGACCTTTTTGAAACAATGGGTGTTTATTTTAGAAAACTATATCAAAGACGGGAATAAGCAATTGGAATCCCTTTATGGTGATATGAACCCAGTGTTACTGTTGAAGATCCGATGTAATTGTGAAACTTTCCGTGACTTTTTTTGCCACTGCCATTGTTGTGGCTACACCTAGATTTGACAATTTTTATGGAAGCTCGTACCTTGTCACCAGCATCAGGATTTTTGTCAGGATGGTACTCTTTGGCCAATTTGCGATACGCCTGAAACAAAGAAAAAATTAAAGATGAAGAACTTTTGTAATTAGTTTTCTAAAAATTTTTTTAATAGTTTTTAAAGCAAATCACTGCAATGCATTAACAGTTCATATGCTGAATTTTCTGTAGCATAAAACAGACAAAAGCCTGGTTATAAACACATGCTTAATTTTTTTTTTTTTTTAAAGAAAATTCAAGACAGTTCTAATTTCAACATGCATAGACTGAAATATAGTTTCAAAATATGATGGCCTGAAAGTGTACAAGTGAATTACAATTAAAATGTAACTTTGAAGCTTTCTGCTTCTATAGTTATAATGGTGTTTACAGATACCAATTTTCAGTTACTTTATGAAAACTTTGGTTTGATTCAACAAAATGAATTTAACAAACTGTGGCCATGAATAAAAAATACCCTACATGTTCATTTACATAGTTTTTGTTCCCCATGCACCAATGGCCCGAAACTCAATAAAAACAAATTAGCACCTAAATTTGTAAGTGGGAAAAAACAAAACAAAAAAACCAACATATTCATTTAAGAAAAGAAACATTCGATTAGCAAGTTAACATCCTATCGGCTCTAAAGTATCCCCTGTACGTACATATAAGACTCAACATGTCTGTATTCGTCATACAAAACAGGTACCAAGACCTTAGTAGAGAATTTTCTAGACTATAGAGCGCACCTCACTATAAGTCCTGCCCATTAAGTTTTTTGAAAAAAAACTGGTAATGTACATATATATAGCCTCTGGAGTAGGGACAAAGAATGCTAGCTCCCGTTAGCTTGTTGGCTCGCAGTAGTACGAGCTTCTACTGAAAGATGGGGCTTTATCGGCTCATTATTTCAGCTCTGCAGGTGTTCAGCCCAGCAGTTTTTCATTGGTTCGGCAGCTTTGATGCAGCAAATAAATGTCCAAATGAGAGAATTTGGGACATTTTGTTCTCTGTCATGTTTGCTGCTAAAATGTTCTTGTGCAAAGTGAAAATTATCCCCTTATTCTTTCAATTCCAACTTTGACTTACCCCTCTAATGATTAGAAAAAATCCACAGAAAAGCTGCACCTTCTTATAAGGCGCATGGTTCAAAGCATGGGAAAAAAGTAGCGGCTTATAGTCTGGCAAATACGCTATATTATTTTGGTATTTTATTAAAAAATAGAAATGACAATATAATGTATTCCAACTGTCCTGGTCAATTTATTTTAATTTACTTATCTGATAAACAACTGTTCTGTTCAGAACTGTCAATTGTTAGAGAATTAACTAAATCCAGATCGTCAGCAAAAAATACCTCACCTGGAGGGTCTGTAAACACTATCAAATCTAAGGTTATCGTAAAGTTATTACAAAGTAAACCAATAAAAAAAAAATTAAAGAATGAAACTTAAATTATTATTAGCTAACTATATATGGCAGTAACACCTCAAATTTGCTGTTTAACACTGCAAAAAGAATTTTGGAATTAAGATGTTCTTATAACCTCTTAACTCACACCCTTTTTAAGTAATTGCCAATTTAGCATACCCAAATGAAAAGCAAATAACTAGGGAACCGTATGGCCAAATTACTTCTGAGAGTAGTCATTTAAAAGCTTACATGTTTCTAGTTTCTGTAAATACAAATGAGAAGTGTGACAAAAACACAACCTAAATAAACAGCATCAGTTCAAACTAAACTCCTAGTTATATAGCAGTAGATGGCAGTAACAAAGAAAAGCTTGGTAGCAGGCATGTGTCATATTATATACACTTCCAAAATCTGCATCTCTTCATTCATGCCTGCAACAAGAAGTTTCTTTGATGTTGTGAGATGTGCTCTTGGAAGTTGTTGTGACTGAATTTGATGAAAACTTTTAAGCCTCTCTCTCTAAATATTTCACTTGCGATGACAAATCCGCATCCTGGTAAGCTAAAATATCAATAGTTTGCATCCAATACTTAATTTTGGGGTATATATATGAGTTATGTTCTATTTGTTGTTACTGAGCAGTTGCTACCCTATTTTACTTTGACAAACGGATCTTCTCGATGTTTGTTTTCCTATTTGGTGCGATTGCAATTACAGATCTTGACCTGGCCGGTTTCCATCAGACTGTAGTCGAGAAGAGAGAGTTTGGCTCCATATTTTTACGGCGATGGACGGAAAAGAATGACATGGACGGTGACGTTCGGAGGAGTAGCGGCGGATGTGGAACAGTTCTCATTTATTAACATGACTGCACAAGTGCTCCACAGGATGTACGCAAACGGGTCAGAGGGTGATGGAGGATGTGGAATTTTGGGGGTTAGTGGATAATTTGATTTAATTGAAGTTATATTGTATAGTGTATGTCTTTCCTTTATACTTTTGTGCAGTTTATTTACCTTTTTCACAAGCTCACATATATTACAGATCTCTACTACAGGTATGGAAACTGTTTCTAATTAAATAACTAAGTGAGTGATTCTTCAAACTGTTTTTGTGAAGACCTGGGAATTATAAAAAAAGAAAAAATAGTCAAAATTTAAATACTCTTTCCAATAGTTGCATCTGTAAAGAATTTTGACTCGTTTTTTTTTGTGTGTCGACCAATTATTAGTCATACCATAGACAAAAAGCATAATACTGTAAAGTAAAAGTAAATGCACCATCAAAATTATAATTAGTTCATTCACATTTGTGTGGATATACTATGGCCCTAAATAAGAATATGTTTTAAAAGACTACAAAACCTGTGCCCCCGACCCTGACTGTAACTTATTCAGGGTTAAAAACTGGGAGTTATGGACAAAAGGGTGAAAATCAATTCAGCCAAAGTAGTCGATTGTACTCAAAACAAGAGTCGTGACATTTTGTGACGCATTCAAGGACTGGGAAAAGTGGAAGTTTTTGACTCTAATGCGTGTGAATGACTCTTGTCAAAACGAATAACAAATAGTTTAGTAAATAGTCTGCCGATGACCAGCCAGTTTTGATCTATGGAAAACTGATACTGCGCCACTGTACAAGGATCATTTAAAAGTCCCACCTTTTAATATATATATATGTTTTGATTTCTATTATCCATGTGTGAGACCAAGTCGTAGCTAAACCAAATAAAGTGGAAATGAGAAGTACACAGTGTATGTTTTGGTTGCTACAGTTACACGAGGTTTTCTAGAAGGCCGAGAAGTATCTACAGCTGAACAACCAGAAACGTTTATAAAACCAGTATTAGTCACTAAATAAGTTTTCCTATTGCATTTTCCAGGAGGATCTGTCTGTTAAATCAATAACATAAAGATCTATACATAAATTCATACTTTCACCAACCCAACGTCACTTGGTTAACTGGTTTAACCGGCAGCCACTAGCATTCCATGGTGTTTCATTACTGTTTAAAATGAGGACATTTAACCTTAAATTATCGGTTGAAGTAATAAAATAAACTTTTAAATCGTTGTTTTTCAGTATAGTTGCAATACTTCATATATAAAAATGCGATACGGGTGAGTATTTTAGCTGGCTAGCATGCTAGGAAGCTTCGAGACTAGCTAGAAACCAGTAAACTAACTAGCTAGCTAACCCCCCCATACTGGGTTTTGTTCTGTTTAGGCCAAAACTACACTTTCAACGAACCAACCTCACAATTCCTTCTTAGTCCAAGTTATTTCTTTGGTTTCAGAAGATAAATACCTTTTTTAGTTCGCTTTCAGGGGCAGTAGGTGAAACTCCGAGGATATCGTACAGCCTGGTGTCCGCAACGTTGGCCATGGTGCTAACCGGCTAGCAGAGAGAGAGCTTCTGCGGAGAATCAGATGAGCTTCCCAACCTTCACCGGCTGGGGCTGTCCTCCCACTCTAAAACACACACACTATTCCTGCAGTTTTATCTGGAGTTGGAAGCCATTTTAACCCCTTCATTTAGAAATTAAGCAAACTTCAGCTGGACTTCTAAATGTTTATATTCATTGTTTTTGCGTGATTTTAATTACAGTCACTTATAAACGTGAGTTTAAACGGTTTCCAACGTTCTAAGATGCGTTTCGATTAAAATATTTAGCTAAAAACATACAGCAGCCATAAAAGGTCTAAACACCCCCCCAAAAATGACAGTTTTGTACGACTTTCGTCTAATTATTAAGTTATGTAACAGAGATAAACCGTTTTTTTTTTTTGTTTGTTTTTTTGTTTTGTTTTTTGCTTTGTAAATATGAACTATAGACATTAAAATTCAACAAAACAATCTGAAACCCTTTAATTGGGGAACAAAAATAAAATAGAGCAAAATGACAGATAAAGACTGTAGTGGGTGACTGTGCACAGAGTTAACCACAATCATGTTAAATTGAAGTCAGTTCATATATGTCTCTTTTTAACCTCAAATACAATTCAGATTTTCAGGAGTATATTCCTGAAAGTTCCTTGTTTGCATCCAAGTTAAAGCCGTTGTTGGCAGAGAGCTTTACTGTATAAACTCAACTCATCATTGTGGACATATTGTAGACATTTGACCAGTTGTATGGGATGGCAAGATGGAAGCCAATAAAAAATATTCAAGCTAAAAAAATAAATAAATAAAAATAAAACTCCCAAGGGGCATGGCTTTTAAGTTTATTTTTACTTATTTATTTTTGTCATCTAATGAGGCCAAACTTGCAGATTTTAACCATATTTCCCCACTTTACAATACCTACTACAGTAAAGCATGGTGGTGGCAGCATCTTCCTTTGGGGGACTTTTTCCTCAGCTGGAACAGCAGGTTTAGTAATTGCGGTCGGCAATATAACTAGTCTCATGCACTGCTCATTGTATGCGGTAAGCCTCAGGCTTCTCCTGGAAAGTCGATGATATAAATTAACTTCCTCTTTCAGCACCAACCTAAAAGTGTGTATTCAAATCATCAAAAGAAGGTCTTGTTTTGATAAGTTTTGATAAGAAAAAAAAAATGATTGCAGATCTAAACCTTTTATTTGCATTGATTAGGGCTGTACACGGGAGAAGAAATAAAGAAGACAGACAATATTGTCAAGTCACGATGAATAATCTGATATAATTCTACCTAGAAAGATTATCCCCCAGTGAAATCTAAAAGCTGTGTCCTGTTATTCTCACAGAAGCTTTACATTGACTTCCATTCATTTCCATGCCTTAACCCAGTCTCTTAACCTAACCCTAATCATTATCATTGCATACCTAAAGCTAACTTAAATTCAGTTCACACCTTAGTCCTATTAAAATAATATCCTATTAAAATAATTCATGAAATAATCCCAATTCCCAGCAACAGTTTTACAGCCAGTATTTTGCAGCCCTTATTACCTTAAAGAGGGACACTGGAGAAATAGGTTACCTCAATCTTATTCTTACATTAGTGGAAGCATACTTTTGAACAAGTATGAACCCTCTGCAATAATTGCAGTTATGTGGCCACATATTCAAAGATTTTCTATTAGACAGTCACAAGTAATGTCACTAGCATAATATTTATTTGATTTATTTTGTCAGCCACTCTGTATGCAGATCTTTATATCATTATCTACACTTCAATCCTAACAAAATAAAAAAGAATATAGATAAATAGCACAGCCTATTATTCACACATCTGAACTATTTTACAAAAAATGGTTCATGTTATTGTCTTGTTGAAACGTTTATCTTTAATAATATCAATAAATTATAATTTATTGCTATTAGATGCCATTCCATGGAGGGCCTGTCAATGTTATTTCTGAGATCTGCTTTTGTGACTAACAATCATCAGTTTGAACAATTTGTTTTGATGGTACAAGCTTTGGCCAGTAGATGGAGCTGAATGTATTAACAAACTCAGGCCCAATGAAATGACTACAATATTATATCTGCTGCAGTATGTCTGCTATTTGACCTTTAATAATCCACAGCATTTAAAAATACAACTATGTGTAGCTTTCACTGTAAGGACTGCTATTTAGTGAAAATGAAACAAATAGAAGAGGATGTTAATAAAGATGTTAGTCTAACTCAAGTTGGCACACTTTACAGTTAGTAATTAAGATTGATAGATGATGTTTTGTATGAACATAATATATAATATTACCTCATATGAACAATTGACATGAAGTATTTTCAAAATACATACTGACGTTTGCAGCTGTTTTACACGTACATAGAGAACCTGAATATAAATGAATAACCAGATAGATAGAGGGTGAGTAAATTGTAATGCAAATTCAACACAACTGTGGCGATAAGAGATGAATTCAGTACATTTTAAAATTGGAGTGCAGCAGAATAAAATAAAGAAAAAAATTCTGTAATGTATAGAAGTCAGACAAAAAAAAGAAATAGGTGCAGATGGCTAGAAAAAATTGACATCTCAACTTCTAAATAAAATTGGAATGCTTTCCTTAAAACACAATCTTTTTACCAAGCACGTGAGAGATTAAGCAGCTCAAGTCAATAAAATCTTACTCTGTCAACTAAATTATTAGATTATTTCAGCACGAGTGAAGTTGGTATCAAGTGAAGATCCACCAGACTGAATGCTAAAAAGAAACTGCAGATATTAAAGTCATAAACTTGCTGTGTTACCTTTATTTAGCACTAAGAAACATGAAACCATTGCTACTTTTTGTTAGAAGTGCCTCATGTTTGAGCAGTTTACTGCAAAAATGTTGCACTTGCTGATCAAGGCAAACATAGTTTATTTATATCGTCCATTTCATTTGATGATTTAAAGTGCTGTGCATGAAAACACATGGATACATTTACATGACAGAATGATGAATGGAACATTTTACTTTGTACTTGCAGTGAGGAGTTAATTCAGACTAGATTATACCACTGGTGCAGAGCATGCTCAGGGTCACCGATAATAAGGATAAATCGTTTTAGGGCTTTTTCCTTTCTTGCAATGAAGAAGCAATCTCTTTTTAAAAAACAAGAGTGAGAGAGACTAAAAATTAACAGAAAAAAACAGGGAGGTAGAAACTAAATCAGCTGATAAGAGGCAACATTCACCTCCATTCAAGTTTAGGTCAAAAGGAGTATACTGTATATACCCACCCTCCTTCCTTATCACTCCAACAAAATGTATAAAACATTGAAGTAATACAATAAAAAGAAATACTGTACCTGCTTACTTTATTGTAAGTAGGTAAATTAGGCCATTACCTGATACTTAACCATATTAACTTAAAAGTCAGATTACTGTTTCAAGATTTTCGTTTTCTTTATAAACTGAGGGGTCTTTTTAGTTCCTCATTTTTACTGTTTAATATTTTCTAAAGAAAAAATATAGCTCCCAAGTTTTTCCAGTATTTTATGATTACCTTTGTTTTCATAATTTTCAAGCTGTTCAAGCCTTTCCAGAGATCATTTAACCAGAAAGTGGAGAATAAGCCAAATTCAGGCTTATTCAAGCTGAATTAATTGAAACATGATGAAGATAGTTTAGAGCAGAAAACTCCAACGGTTTTCTCACATAAACATTTAGCTTTATATTTCAAAGTATAAAATGGCTACATTTCCAATAAAATGTTGATGAGGAGCCCAGCAACGACAGCTTTTAGAATAGTTTAATCTTTGATAAAGATTAAACTAGCAGTGGCCAGATCCAGCTCTGGACAAGTCTAAGTCTAAATCTTATTTGTATTGGTAGCTGTTCTTGAAATACATATGTCTCTCATATTTTTGTGGGAAATAACAGAACAGGTTGTTTCTTACGAATAAATGAGCCGATTAAGTTTTCATTTCATAATTCTTATTATAATGTTAAGGGTCTTAACTGTCGATCTTAATAATATATATAATAATATGATAATTAATAAATAAATAGAAATAACTAAGTAAATTAAAATGTAATAAATAATTGATAATAATAACGGTTTTAGTCTGTTAACTCATCTTTTCAATTGAACTTCAATGTTTAGTTTTCTCACATGAGTATCTGAGAAACTTTGTTTTAGCTTGAATGTTTTCTTTGGAACTGATAGAATGAACCCAGTCCTTTATCTTAGATTAAGGACTGGGGTGCCCCACCCCCCTGCGGGCCAGGCTCCGCGGAGCAGCCGCCAGGAATAAGCCAGTACCCGCTTGGGCATCCACCCCCAAACACCGAGCACCACCAGTGCACCGGTAAGCCCCAAGTGTCAGCCAGCTGAGGGAGGGCGGATGGCGGGAATGGGCTCTGCACCTAGTGGAGACTTGGGATGTTCTTGTGAGAGGGAGCAGTTCAGACCCCAAAATGACAAATACATCAACACAAACAATAAAATTTTAAAAATACACGCCTTCCCACCCTGATGCCCCCACTCGGAACACATAGTCTCTGTGAAGAGGAACAACAACAAAAAAATGCGGACACACGTTCACATATAACACTCACAACCAATAACCCTAGGACTGAGGACCAGGCGGTGCTGGTGGCCAGTCCCGGGATTACTGGATGACCCAATAGGTGAACCTAAAATCCGGATGGGAGGAAGGGGAGCGGTGTCACCACCATACTAACCCATTTGGTTCCTGCTTCGGGCCTGGCCCCCTACCCGTACCAGAGGACTCCCAGTAAAAGCCCACCCGGGGACGGGCCCACATGTCCTGCACAGGCCACCCAGCCAGAGCTCCCTAAAAAATTCACCTAGCCACTTCCTCCCCCTCAATACCCCATTCGCCCCTCCCTCCACCCCCCTTTGGGGAGAGCAGAAATAACAACCCTGGCACTGCAACAGCCCTCCGCCAAGAGCCTATAACCATAAGCTACTTTCCAAAAGAAGATTTGCAACTTTCCCACGTTGTCAGACTCACCATCGGTAAGTGAAAATGTACGTAAACATATCACTAGAATGATTGACAATTAGGGGGACCACTTAATTTTAAGATCCACCCGGAAAAAGAACATCCTCCTCTATACGTTTAACAAAACAAGAAAGACCTTTACTTAATTTTTTAATGACTGAATTCTGAATAGAAAAAAGACTGAATAGAAAAAGACTCATCTTTGTGGAGAGTTATATCATACAAGGAAAACTGATAAATATTCACTTTTTTTCTTCTATTCTATTGGAAATAAAAGAGGTTGCACTACTAGCAATGTCTCTGGACTCAAATTAAGAAAAAAAACAAAAACAATAACAAACATGTTTGCACGTTTGTTTCACAGCCAAACACTCAATAACAATTTAGGCAGTCGCCATTTTTAAATTTCAATTTTTTCGTTTTCTTTCTGAGTGCCTCGTGTCCACACACCCCCCGGGCCGCTCAGCCGCCGTGCAGCGGCAGTGGAAGTGACATTGCAGCCAGGAAAGAGGTAGTATGTTTGGCTAACATCGCAGTCACAGAGAGGCTGCTGCCATGGGCCTGCGGCTGACCCGACAGACCAAGTCACCCATTATTGTTCAGCCTGCATGCAGCCAACAGTGAGAGGATGTAACAAAGGTAAGAACTGCTTTATTTTTTTTTTTAAACAAACACATTCCGCTATATGAAAGGCTAACCGAACAGGCTTTGCTGCGTTAACTTGGCGGCGGAAGACACTGAAGCTAGGTCTGAATGAGGAGGATACGGTCTGACAGCTTAATGTAGCCCACAGCTGCGATAAATAGCGTCTCTATCTTAGCTGTGGCTCTAAATGCATCGTTTCTCCATCGTGTTAAATTAGTCTGTAACGTCAGCAGCGCGAGCGCGGCTGTGCTAACGGCTCCTTTTATTATATGCAGGTAAGTGAAAGGCACCTCAGCTTAAGCGCGTGCATCACAGTGATTAAAAACCCCAAGTTGTTTGATAAGCTGATGGAGATTTTAGCGTGTTATTATTGATATTCTTATATAAACATTAATCGCTAACTGATGCGCTCGGGATGCTTGAAAGGCCTTTTAAAGCTGGCCGTTGGTTGGGCTGTTGTTGTTTTTTAGCTGTATATAAAACCTTCTGGGAACATTTCTGCATTTCTATTGCAGAATTACTTGAACTACCCGGCTGACCTGTTTATAAAAATAACCAGACTCACTTCAGCTGTTTTGAACAACATGGTGTGGTCAATTTGTCGTATTTGTTTTGGTTATATTTGTTTTTTTAAATGCTGTTTAATTAATCCAAAAACTGCACACCGGAAACAACGTGAATGTACGTCTAGTGACGTCACATTTTTTTTTGCTGCATGTGCAATTTTTTTGTTTAAAATAAAAAGTAATTGAGCACATTCTTTGAGTTTTTAATACAGATATGATGTTAAAATCAAATTAAAAAGGAAGCAAAATTTTTGATTGGAAGTCTAATATGGCTGTGCTCCTTTTGAGGAGGTCTTATGTTCACAGCTTGCAAGGATTTAACTGAGGGGAGGTTATGTGGTGCATCATGCTGGAATCGGTCTTGGATTAAACAAGATCCTGTGCTTGCCCGGTAAATCATCCAGATAAGGTCGATCTTTAGCTTGGACACCATCCTTCTGTCCTGCTTCGCCATACCCAGACTGTCACAGGCTTTGTGGATCAGTTTATAGACTGTATAAGTCCAAACAGGATTACACTACAGACACAAAACACTCTGACCCTCACCAAGCCAGTGCTGGATGACCTCAGCCCAGTGGTACTCATTATAATACCTCTTTGGTGATCATTTTCAAACACATCAAACAAGTTGCCGTAGTGACTGCATTCCATAAGGATGATCTTCACTTTGCTACAAAAAGACTGCACTGTCACCCTTTCAACTAGAACTTGTTAACATGTCAGAGTTAAAAATGAGCCCAAACAAAATAAGTCACCCCACTGTGGCTGTTCCTACTCCCAGTACCATCACTGCTGCAATCAACTGGAGGAAGTAAGGAAATAAAAATACATAGAGTGCTACAGTTATGTGTAGTAATGAGTAACATTTACTCAAGTGATTTAAAAAAACAAACAAACAAACAAAAAAACTGTAACGCCAAGAGATGGTTCAATATTATTTTGATTACTGTATACTTTTTGCTTTACTTGGGTAATATTACTTGTAAGTAACTTTTTTCCTGTGTGAGTATAATTCTCTCTTCTCCTGCAGCTGTACTGGCAAATCACATTACAAATGAAAAATGGTGTGGCTAAAATTACACAGAAACTGATCAGATGAGGACAAATGCAGTTTAGAATATGAACCGATTAGTCCAAGTTTAAGGTTAAAAGCTGATTGTTATTGTCAGCTGTTTATTTCATTGTTTTCATTAAAAGATGGCTATGGGGTTGAAATGTATAGAGATGAAGCCTTGTGTTATGGCAGTCAGCTTCAGAATCCCTGTCAGAATTTTGTTAAAAGATCCTCTTCTTTCATGCTCTTTATTAAGGCCAGCTGGTTGGCTTCATTCCTGCTTGATTTTTTTCTGATGTCATCAAGTCAATGTAAAGGCAACATGGTTTGTTTTTTGTTTCTTTTTGTGTGCCTTTTAATTTTTATGTTTTTGTATTCAGTGTAAATCCACACTTCTTTACCTAGTTCTGTTTTTAATGTTACTGAAAAGCAAGTACACCTTTGGATAGTAGATGTAAGCCTCTGTTTATTCAAGAGATGTGTACAAGGTCTATGTTGTCAGAAATCTATCACAGTTAACCATTACATGTAAACATGTTGGGTATTTAATAGGTATTTGTGCTCCAGATAAGTTGTTGTGCATGCTATTATCTTGTCAGTGCTGTTGAGATCAACCCCGCATTGTGAAGAAATCAGTAGCCTTTAACACTCTTCCTCATTCTATTTATAACTGAGATCTACAAGTTTGCACTTTGTAATAGCAAAGTCCCCAGCTTGTAGGAGCTCCCCTCGACCCATCCGTACCAGTGTAAAGCCCAGTTAGTGTTTGCTGATGTACCTACAGCTCTGTGAAACCACAAAGCATGATGGGTGCTATCAATACACAAATAGGCTCTAGTAATTCAGTTACAGACTCATTACTTCCTGCTCCTCCCTCCAAAGAAAATGTTCAGCCTTAGATTCAGCTTCTGCCTGAAGCCACATAGAAAATCTTTGTTACTCTGTCTTTTTAAAGCTTCATCTTTTATTCCCCAGGTTACAGGCAGTCTCCTGAGGTTGTCTTTTTGCTGTAGATTGGATTGACCTGAACGTCTTAATCTGCAGATGCTGATTGATGTCCAGACTCTGATAATAAGGGAGATGGATGTTTAGCGAGAGCGCCTCCTCGTTCTCCTGTAAGACATTTATATTTACTGATTACTTGGTTTTAAAAGTGCAGCATTCTGTGCTTCATATCTCATTCCTCTCTGACCAACAGCCAAGTGTTAGATCTGCTGACATCAACAATGTTTTGGAAGTTTGACTTGCACCCATCCTCTCACCTGGAGGCCTTGTTAGACAAGGAGGATGTCACCCTCACTGAGCTCATGGATGAGGAAGATGTGCTTCAGGAGTGCAAGGCCCAAAACAGGAGGTGCATTTGTTGTTGATGTCTTTGCATTAGCACTTTGAATTTACTTTTAAAGGGATCAGGTTTTGCATTCTGCTGGCTTGACTTTATTATTCTTTAATGGGTTTACAGACTCCTCCAGTTCCTCTGCCAGGACCAGTGCATGCAAGAGCTAGTTGGTTTGATCACGACAGAGCCCCCTACTGGCGCAGAAGAGACCAAGCGCTTCAAGTAAGTTAGGTGGAGCAGTGAACTACATTTAATAATCAGATTATTAAAGCTGGTATGTTCCACATTTACACACTAGGGAAACCAATATGCTAAATGGACAAGTTGATTTCTTACTGGTGGATTTTTCCTCAAACATTCTTTCAGGTATTCAAACATAGCATGTGAGCTGCTGACTTGTGATGTTGGGGTGATCAACGATAAACTTGGTAATGAGGAGCCTCTGCTGGAGAGTCTGTATGCCTTCCTGGAGCAACCATCCCCACTGAACCCTCTGCTGGCCTCCTTCTTCAGCAAGACAATTGGGAATTTAATAGCACGGAAGACTGAGCAGGTAAAACACTCCTACAGCAACAACAGGGCAGGCTTTAATAGCAGAGGGCTACATTTATGTGTTTTTGGGATTGAATTAAGACAGGATTTAAAGGATAATCCCCACATAGAGATTAACCTTTACCTGGGATGGCTTTTATTTTTTTCTTCTGTTGAAATGGGAGCATTATAATGGGGCTGGCCACAAATTGCTGTTAATGATTTTGTAAAAGTCCTATTGCAGTTAATAAGGTGTTTAAGCTTACATGGTTTACCAAAGATGGAGAGCGGCATTCATATGTATTCATCCTCACTGATTTAGTACCTAGAAGAGCCCCTTTTTGCTGGTGGTCATTTTATTGTGTCTGTAGCAGCTTTACCTGGTTTGTAGACCAGCTTTATGCCGACTATCAAGTTTGAACATGTTTATACACACACAAGCCTTTTTATCTCTTTATAGCTTTTTATCACTTCAAATCTTCCAGAGCAACTCTTGGCTGCTTCTTTGGGGGCAAGATTTATGGAGCTGTGTCTCTGAAGGTTACATGTTGTGCCATGCTTCCAGGTTCACATGACTTGAAGTTATAGTGGACATCCCTGTGAGATGTTCAAAGATTGGATTACAAGGCTTTGTAACCCATTAACCATCTCAAAAACTGTCATTCCTGTTGTGTTCTTTATGCTATTTGTCCACAAATGTTCTGCGAGGCCATCAGAGCACAGCTGGATATATATACTTGTTGAAACAAACACACACACAGGGGGGTTATTTTGATTGTTTTGTGATTCTTATGGGTGGTTATTTCGATTTCTAGGACTAGATTGGTTAATACAAGTTCTATTAATTGCAAATATTACTTGTGGTATTGGAAAAGGGAACTTGAAGCAAATGCTTAGCACAGTCGGTCATACTTGTCTTGCTCATTTTGTAAAGTTTTTTTCAGAGATTTTATATCAACAGTTTCATTATGGTTTATTGTTTGAAATCATTGTAGCTAACAGGGTTTAGATTTATGTGAAACAGTCCTGCTCAGAGCAACTTTTGCACATCTCAGTCTTATATTATCTATAACATGTTCTCATACATTCATCTTTTTTAACTGTGCTGCACAGGTGATTAGTTTCCTGCGAAAAAAGGAGGGATTCCTTTCATTGGTCCTGAAGCACATAGATACGTCTGCCATGATGGATGTGCTGCTACGCCTCATCAGCTGTGTGGAGCCACCTCCACTTCGACTAGAGACTCTCACTGTACGCAACACATTCCAGTCTCTCAAATATTTCTTAATGACAATGTCGTGTGTGTTGTTTATTGTAATATTCCTGTAATATTCCTATTGTAATACTGTTCCTGTTAGTGGCTGAATGAACAGAAACTGGCCCAGAGACTCATCGAGCTCATTCACCCTGAGAGAGATGAAGAGGTAGATGAGAAAAGCTCTTTATATGGATAAAGATATTGATAAAACAAAGTCTTAAAAGGTTAACTTCTTTACTTACTTCCCTTGTTTTTTTTGTTTTTTTTTTAAAGAGACAGACAAATGCTTCTCAGACTTTGTGCGATATCATTCGTCTCAGCAGAGATCAGGCCAGTCAACTGCAAGAGATTTCGCAGCCAGACCCTCTGCTGACAGTTCTGGAATCGTAAGTCACAGACTTTAACCTGGATGCAGGTTCACTATCGCTAACCTGCTTGTAGAGACAATGATGTGCTTTGGTTACTTTTTTTGTTTTACAGCCAGGAGTGTGTGGAGCAGCTGCTACAGAATATGTTTTCAGGAGAAAAGACGGAAAGCTGCATCGTCAGTGGGATTCAAGTTCTTCTGACTCTGTTGGAAATCCGTCGGCCAGTGTGAGTGAGAGGCTCTGAATAAAACTTGAGCAAAATGGAAAGATTTTCAAAAAATATTTTCAAATTATAATTTCTTTTCTGACCAATGACAAAGCAGCTGACTGTTTTATTTTGTCATAGCACCCATAAGATTTACTTATAGATCTATAAACTTTTTTTTTGATGACAGGGTGGATGGTATAATGGACGCTCAGGGGTTTGAAAGAAGTTACACTGTTAACAGCAGTATTTTGTTGGCTATTCAACCACATCTGATACACTTCCACCAGCTGCTCTTGAAGCCACCTAAGGTACAGAAATAATAATTCAGACTCAGTACAATAAACTAAAATAAAAAATCTTTTAAATATAAGATCTTTAATTTTCTTCTGTTTATCTGTGTATAATATAGCAAGATCCCATGCTGACTACTCTTGGTGTGCTGGAGGAACCACTGGGGAACACACGTCTGCATGTGGCCAGACTCGTGGCCTCTCTGCTTTACACCAGCTCTGCCAGCCATGCAGTCGTGGCACAGGAGCTCTGCAGGCTTAATACTATGGACCTTCTATTGGTGAGACACATATTTGTTGCATTTTTACAATTTCCCTTTTTGTATAGATTACCCATGAGATGTCACATGAATTCATTAGTATTTCATAAAATGTTTAATATGATGATCTTTCATAGCTCTGACTGAGATAGACCCCCAGGTATGTTTTACTTGGTTGTAAAGTAAAATGCATCCACTTTGGGGGGGAATGCAAAATAATCAGTAGGTTTGCCCTGTCTGAAATCACACAGAGGTCAGAAGGGGAAGACTTGGATATAGGCGACAAAATCAATAGGACAATATTACCTTACCCATAGTAGTAGTTCAAAAGGACAGAAAACGTATAAAAAAAAATGGTGATCCTCTTTGAGCCTCCAAAAAACAAGACAGCGAGGGTCAGAAGGCTACAGGAAAGCCAAGCTTGTCACTCTCTTCTTTTATAAAAAAAAATAAACTTCCACAAACTTCACAGGCTGCTTGATAAAATCAAATGTATAAATACTTCCAATACCTTTGTTACTCAGTTTTCCTTTAATTCCCATTATATTTTGTATACATAAAAATTCTATCTCCCCCCACTTCACAGGTTTTGCTTTACATCTCTTTTACATTTTTTTCAAACTTTTAATTATCTGACCCAGTCTAATGACGGACATTATTGTTTAAATTTTATGAAGCAGAACAAAAATCTGCACAGATCTGGATCTGCTCACCCTGCATAGAAGGAGCCTCTCTATAAACTCTATAGTCGGGGTACATGGAATATAATGGCAGCGGAGATTAAAAAGTCAGACTCAACCGGTGTGACCTTGGCTTCAAACTGAAGCAATACTGTATGTAGAAACCACATTATTCCAGTCCAGTTATGTAGTCACATGTACATGCATTGTAATTTGATTCTGATTTTAACAGCACGGTTAAAGACAAGTGTTTTTATGATGAATAAAATGTCCTCCTTTTTCAGGACTTGTTCTTTAAGTACACCTGGAACAACTTCCTGCACCTCCAAGTGGAGCTTTGTGTTGCTGCTATCGTCCGGCCATGTGCTCATGAAATGAGACCGCAGCCTGGATTTGGCTCCCAGGATAAATCCAAGCCCTCTCAAGACACACCCCAAGAGCAGGATACAAGCGAGGCCCCAAACTCTGACCCTTTAGTCACCTCTGAAAACTCTGCCCACAACTTAATGGTGACTCATGTAAGCTTATTTTTAGCTTTCAGACATCATTACGTCGACTCAAATGACCTGACCTTTTGATTTGCATTAATTAAATGATTCTTTCTCTTTAAAGTTGTTCCAACACTGCCACCTTGTCCAGAGGATTCTGGAGGCTTGGGAAGAGAATGATAAAATACAGTAAGGACCTCTGGGATCATAAGGTAATGTTTTGTGTCATGAGCATCAGGCCAGATTTTAAAGGTGTTATGTGTTTGTCAGGTCGGAGGGTGGCATGAGAAGAGGGTACATGGGACATTTGACCAGGATTGCCAACACTGTGGTGCACAACCTGGATAAAGGCCCAGTTCACACTCAGATCGGTAACCTCATCTTAGGTACGTTTGAGAGAAAAGCAAGGAGACAATACAGAAAGGTTATGATAGCTGACTCAGAAATGTAAAAATGATTTGCTCTTTTGGTTGCAGAGCTGCCAGGTGACTACAGGGGGCGCTGGGAAACCTTTGTTGAACAGACACTATCAGATACCAATAGGAAAAACACCATAGACCTGGTAATCCCGGACACACTGACCGTTTCTGAATGTTGTGGGTTCTCATGTGCTCGTGTACTCATGAAATATCATCCACCTCAGCCCTAATAGTCTTTCAATTCACAAGAACACAAGCCCGAGGACGGACAAAGCCCCCGAATGTTGTTCCCACCCTGCCCTCTTTACCGAGCATGTATCAGAGCAGACTCGTCCATTATTGAGATTGACAGCTGTCCCAGCATGCACCGCGGCAGCAGCAGCTTCCAATGGAGCGCTAACAGCGCTCAAAGTATTAAGTTAAAATTTCTCTTTTATGTTGCCGTTGTTCTATAAAAGTACATTTTAAGATCATTTGAGGTGAGAACATGCTTTTAAGTGTCACTATATGGCCCATTTATCATTTACCATTTAGCCTGTCTGCAGCAGCCCTCTCTTGGCATAGCCGTTTGTGAATTTTTTTAATTTGGCAAAATGTTCATTTGATTTGTGTTTATCTGACTGTGTTAATTATTATTCCCCTAATAATGAAAAAATTGTAATTTATTATCTAGAGACTAATAATAACAGGAAATGAAATGCAGCTCTAGTGAGCCAAGCATGTGGTGACATCCAGAGTACGCTTCTGTTCCAATTGACCCATATTTATGCTGTGTGCTCCCGTGCTCCCCAAGTCCATACTTTCCTGTGTTCTTCTCAAGAACATACTTTGCAAGAACACGAGTCCGTACTTGCGTTCTTGTGAATTGAGAAACAGCCAGTGACTACATGTATGGCATTTCATTTTTTTTGAAACACAAATCTAAATGCAGGTGGTAAATTCGGTAATATTGATTTCTTTAGGTTGGAAGTGGAAACCCTCGATCTTCTTCAGAGGATGACATGGAGAGCCCCTTCCCTAAAGAGCTGACAATGCAGCAGGTATGAACAAATAAGCTGGCCAAATATGGTAAGTTTTTTTCATCCGCCATTGTTTTCTAACTGTTGCGCTTATGTGTTTAAGGCTTTTTCGGACTATCAGATCCAGCAGATGACTGCTAACTTTGTTGATCAGTTTGGCTTTAATGATGACGAGTTTACGGACCATGATGACAGCATTGGGTAAATTAACAGACTTTCATTTATTCAGATTGGATCACCATTTTCTGTGCTGAGTGCGGAATGCTTGTTCTCTTACAGTGCAACATTTGACCGGATTGCAGAGATCAACATCAACATTGATGCTGGCCATGACACTGTGAGTTTATCAATGTGCCTATTTTTAGGGCTGTTTTTCTTCTTCTTTCAAAACGACAACTCATTTTGTATGCGTGTGTTTTTTTTTAAATCTTGATATAAAAGGATACTAACTAGCCAAGACTATAATTAAAATGATCCTCCTTATACGCAGGCTGACACAGCTGTTTTTGAGGCCTGTTCTAAGGAAAGGATTCAGCCCTTTGATGATGATGAAGAAGACATATGGGAGGAAAATGAAATCAACTATGCAACTCAAACAAAGTCCAGAAACAGGTTGACAAAATCCTCTAATAAGTAAAGTTTTTTGCTTAATATATACATGGTCCTTTGTTAGAAGGGTAAATTTTCTTAATGTTTGTGCCCTTTTTGCCATGTTACAGTTACAAATGTCTATTCTGTAATAGATGAGCAAGTAATGTATAATTGTTGACCGGAATAAGAAAAGTTTCAAAGTTTTTTTTATAAAAGAAAATGCAAAATGCAATCATCAACTTTGATTCTTGGATATCTAAAAAAACATTTCTAGGAGCCATTTAGATTCAGATGTCCCCTAATTAGTAGCTAGGGTTGACAGATCTCCGTAAATCCGGCTGTTCTGGGAAGCCATCAAAGGTCTGTTAGGAAACAGCTGGGAGCAGGCTGCATATGTAGACTAGGAAACAGATGAGGTCGGTTAGAAAGAGATTTCCAAAACCAACAGAGCAATGTTCAACCCACTCTCCAATATTTGTGCTAGCAGTGTTTCCCATTAATGAATGAGACCGCCACAGTCTCATTTGGGCCGCCACGGTCTTATATAGACACACACAGAGAGAAAACAACAACAACAAAAAGATCTGTCAGTTTATCAGACCATTCCACATAGGGCTGGGCGATAATTCAATAACGATATATATCGATCGATAGACGTGTGGCGCAATAAAAAAAAGCTGGTCGATTAAAAAAAAACGCAGTTTTCCTTCCTTCTCATTGTAGCCTATCATGTAGGTTTATGCTAGTCACTACTTCCTCCCAACCAATCGCAATCGCGGACCCAGGCACGCCGTCACAAAGCGCCGCCCTCTCAAACCACAACACAGAGCACATGAAGATGTTGCAGCAAGGAGAGGCGGAGGAAATTGTTCCAAAGAAGGGTTTCTGTAGTTCGCCAGTTTGGCAGTATTTTGGTCATGGCAAGTCGGACAAAAAACAAACCACAGTCATCTGTAAAATGTGTAGGGAACCAGTGAAAACGCAGTCTGATAACACAACCAACTTTTTTTTAATCATCTCAGCCACTCACACCCGCAGGAGTACGAGCTGTGTAGGCCACCGCGCGCATCTGCCTCGTCCTCCGAGGAATCTTTAGGAATTTCGGGAAAATATATATATATTTTCAGTTCTGGGCAGTTTCCCACGTAGTTCTAACGAGTGAGAGAAAAATGCTGAGGGGCCAGCAACTTTAAAGTAATAACTCAGGTTAAAGCAGGAAGCTAAGCCGAACCAGGTTCAGCTTAGAAGAATGCGGGCGGGGGGCGGGGTGGGGGTGCGTCGATTTATTTATTTGTTATATTTATTTTGGTCACTTTTCTGGTCACTTTAGTTTATTCTTTGTCAGTATTTAATAACATAACTCAGGTCTTTTAAGTTATTTTTCTTTAAAACAATTCTGTTATGGTTAAAAAAGTTGGTTAAATAAATATTTAATTGGAAGTCTGTGTTTGTGTTCTTTATTAAAATTAAATCATTTAGCAATATTATAAAATGTCCAGGCTGAGCTGCACATAAAATATGGTTTCAAATCTTTTCAATAATTATCGATATCGATCAATATGCATTTTTTTTGTCTAAGCTTTTTTTCTATATCGCCCAGCCCTAATTCCACAGCTGTACTTTCATACCACCCGTAAGCCAGCTCCATAGAGAGTCAAATTGTTTATGGCCGTAACCAAGCGACTGGAAGACTGCGCGCCACGCCCATAGATGGTCAGTGGCGGTTGTACTCCCCGGGCGAGACCCACTCCAAGAGCCAGTTATATTTTTTTCCAAGCACACATCCTGCCCTCCTTTATAAAAATGCCACCCGGGCTGCCCCTCATGCAGTGTTGCCAACTCAGCAACTTTGTCGCTAATTTTAGCGACTTTTCAGACCCCTCCAGCGACTGTTTTTCAGAGAAACGACTAGAGACAAATCTAGCAACTTTTTTGGTGTCACTGGCGGCTTTTGGAGACACTTAGGTGAAAGCATGTATCGTTCCTACTCATGTCCTCCATCGGCAGGTGATGCCATGGGGCGCCTCCCCGTCCCAAAGCCCTTCTCCCGCTTCGGGAGTGTAATAGTAAAATATTATTTGGTCTGAAATGTTTTATCTTAAAATAACGCATTTGATTCACACACCATTGTGTTTTCTTCTCAGATAATGATTTGTAGGCTCCTTAGTGAACCACAAGTGAAGAAAGAAAAAGTAAAGAAAAAAAAGTGGCCTCAAAATGCACTTAAAGGGGAGCGCTGTTTTTTTGTTTTGTTTATTTTTTACATTGGGCCCTTGATTTTACGTTATTACATCATGTTCTACTCACCCATATGAGTTTTGTGTCATTTGGAGCTGTTCTGAAGATATTCCGTTCGGTTATATCAAAGTAACGTCTTCCTATGGGCAACAACTTGAAGGCACAAACTAAACAGTTCATAATGTATTCTTTATGGTACGCCAGCATTCATAACATGTAGGTGAATCACTGTCCCCCAGACATCCGCGGTTATATTTTTTATATTTATATTTTAGAATGCATGGTAGCCGGCGCGCGCAGATGACGTCATACACACTCCACTTTGTTTTAAAAAAATATAAATTTCCTTTGCCGCATGTCTCTCCTCCTCTCCCATGTAAAAATACATTAAATGCATGTTTTTTTTGTTTTTTTTTTATGAGGTTCGGTGGCTCAACTTCCTCCCAAAGCCAAGTAACCAGTCAGACATGTGAGAAAAGGACAGCTTCCAGCACTGAGGTTACTGACCGACCTGCAGACTCTGATTCTGAGGAGGAAGATAATAAAGATGACTTTGATCCGTTTTCAAGTCAGGGGCAGACAGACGCACCTCCGAGTAAGACACTGGTGCATGTTTTAACATGTGTACGTTATGCATTTATGCTAGGATATGTGTCCTAGTTTTACTCAGGATTTGTTTGATGTTCTTGTCCTCAGCTTCTAGCTGGGTTGCAGACTTTGGAGAGGTGAACTCAACAGCTCCTGCGGCCGGAGCAGCATTTTCTCCCTGGGACACTCCGGTCTCCCAGCCAGCTGCGTCAGAGGCAGAGGAGAAAGGGTGGGCCAAGTTTACAGATTTTCAGCCTTTCTGTTGGTGAGTTTGGGCTCCCATGAAATATAGTTTAAGTATTTAAAAAAGAATTTGTTTTTGCTTTTGGGATATCGTAAATCATTTTGTTAAAGTAGTGGTTAGCTGTTTTGGACTTTTAATTGATAATTAATGTACTGTCAGAAATGCCACAAAAACATGTTGAAATAGGGCAGTTTTTTTAGGAGTTTGTACACTGCTAAAACTCAAAGTGACGTATACAAAAAGCACTACAATGGCGTTGTAAGGGAAGCATATTTATTTTTTATTTTAGTAATCATATATACAAGTTAGGTGTTCATATTTCATATGATGTCCTGCAGTTCTGAAACGGGCCCCAGATGCAGCTCTCCTGTGGATTCAGAGCTCAGTGGATCCGACGGCACCAAACAAAACCCAAACCGTAAGTTTATTATTATGTTTGCCCTGAAAAATACCTGGCATGTGCAGCACTTTTTTTACAACTCTGCATGTGGTAATGAACATACTGGTTCCAACATTACAGCCCACTGTAGATGTAGAAGAGCTAGCAACACAAGCAGCCAGCTTTATCAGTGCCCAAATGTTACCCCTAAGAAACTTAATCAACCCTTTACTGATTGTTGCATCCTCAAACAACCTTTTGTAGCTCTACAGTTGGAGACAGGAGCAGCATCCTAGCAACATTATTCTAGACACCATAATCCTAAATTTAGAGGCGAGTACAAAGGACTTGGCAGAAGTTATTTTCTATCAAAAGAGGTTCACCTGCAAGGATATTGCAGCCTGTAGAATTACCTTAAAAGTCATAGGGAAATCATATTTAAATGTCAAATCATTCTGGCTTAAACATGTATATAAATGTACTCTTTATCAGACGATATTGTCCCACAATTTAGAAAATTTCTATAAAAAAAAAATGCTGTCTTAAAATATGTTTTTTTTTGGGGTTTTTTTGTTTTGTTATCTTATTCAGGCCAGTTTCTTATATGTCAGCCTGTACACCTAAGTTCGGCCAATCATATATCAACGGTCATCTGTTAATCAAATTTCTTCGGTCATAGCATCTTGATTCATATGCAGCTAATATACGCAACGGTTGAAATAAGAATCATTTACTTTCCCATTAAGTTATGTCCCAGTGTTCACGGGGATGGACGTCCGTGTCTTCGGCTGGCGTAGAGCTAACAGAACTGGCAGCGTTGCGAGGCAAGGGCTCAGACATGTACGGCTGTAAGCCTTCTACACCAAACAAAGCTTCTGCTGCCCTGGCGACCTCTTCGAAACGTCTTCATCCACCCTTTCCTCTAAATAAAAACTGTATGACGAAGGAGAGTCATCCATGACCTCCGACACATAACTCTCCTCTTTCATGTTTCTGCTGTCCATAGCGTTCCTTGACAGTGTCATTTTTTTAAGTCACCAATTAGGTGCTACTTGGTCCCAATGTAATCTCCCATTGGAAACCTACTATCACTAAGTTGCTAACTGGTTATAAAGAAAATATATCTTTTAACTTTGGAGAAAGTTAGGGTAGCTGATATTGCTTTATTGTTTATTTGAAGGGCTTTTTTGTTTGAAATTATCTTTGTTGAAGACCTTTTTTAATTTTATTTTACCTTATCTTTCCTTCCAAGCTTGTGTTTGGAGCGCTTGTGTGGCAAGAAAAGCTCCACTTGTGGCATCGGATAGTTCCTCCTCCAACAGCTCAGACAGTGATGAAGAAGAAGGAAAGACGGAGTCCACTTCCAGTGAGACCGTCACAACAGAGACCATTACCACAGGTTCAGGGAAGGAGACTATCCGGCTGACTGTAGATGCCAAAAATGAGAGGGCAGTCTTCACAAGGTACTCATTCTAGTTCACTAAGAAGAAGCAGCTGTCCGTTTGTGTGTCCACCTTGTCTTACTGCCCATCCTTTTAGGGCCCTTCTGTCCTTTTCTAAAACTTATTTCTTCACTATTCTGCCTCTTCATCCTCTATCCTAACCCTATTATCATGCACCAACCTTGTGTTTCCTCCTTTTCCTGTGTCCCCTTCGTTCCAGAATTTTCCGACCTGCGTACAAACGGTATGTCGTACTCTAGGTTGCCTGTGCGACTTGAGGAATGTCGTCCTGATCGATTTTAACTGCTCTTGTTTGCTCGTTTCATTTCACAGGATGTGGAATAATATTTCCATTTTGCCATTATTCTTTCTAGTTTCAGTTCAGATGAAGAAACTAACCTACCACTTGCTACTCAGGACTTTTATTATTTGGGGATTTCATTGGGATATGACAGAAGCTTACTGCGATTGGAGATCATATAATTTGATAGTTGTGTTATTATATAGCTCTGCAAACTACTAACAGTCTGTCAGGTAGCATGCTAATCTAATATTTCCTCCATTTTGGTTGATTAACATTCTAACAGACTGGTTCATTAGGAAATGACTAATAGTGCATTGAACAGCATGCTACAGTTCATTAGATGCTACTTTGAATTGAAGAAACAAACCATATTAAGTAATCCCTATATCTTTCATTAATTTCTTTTTCTGTTTGAAACAACAATAAAAATACAAGGAACAAATTTTTTTTCTAACTTAATTTCCTAAAATAATGTAGAAAAGACTGAAAGCAGTTCAGTTTTTTACCTACTAAATTAAAAATGAATAAAAATGTACACTGTGCATGAAATTATATGAAAAGAGGACCATTACAATAAAACGGTAAAAAAAAAAAATTAGGTGTTGGCTTACATCACATCATATGTCAGTCTAGACATTCTAATGGTAGCCATTATAGTGGCAAGCTGCTAATAAATAAGTAGCCTGATAAATGTAATGTTATCATATTGGCTGTCTTTAATGGTTTATAATCATGGTTTATAATCATTCTAAATAATGAACAAAGCAACAAAACTTAACAACTCTCTGATCTTCATAGGCTTAGGATGATGCTGTGCCTGCACTATAAAAAGGAAAGTAATTTTCTGAATCAAAAGTTAACCTTTCCTGTCTGAGCCAATCAGAGCAGAGCTGTCTGATCAGAGTGAGGAAAGAAAAGAATTTGAAAGGAGCATCGAGCTGCTCTGTGATCAGGTGCGTCTTAGGCTGCTTGAATGTTGGATGTGTGGCAGGGGCGTCACAAACCGCTGTGAGTTTCATTGTTATACTTTGAAGTCTATACTACAAAGACTGAAAAATAATTTGAGCTTCCACATTGTCTTCTTTATGCCCCATATTCTATGATGAGAGGAAAGAAGACTCTTTACTGAACTTCTTTTTGAAAGGACACTGACATTTGATGAACATAATAATCTAATAACAACTCTTGAATGAACGATAACTTAATTATTCATTTGATTTTATAGGGATTGAAGAGTAGATTGTGCAGCAGATCAGCTGATTTTGTTTTCTATTAAATAAAACCGACTTGCAGCTGCTTAGTTATTTTTAATAGCGCTCATACAAATAAGATGCTATGACTCTAGGTGACACTCAGCTGATCTTTTTGAGCCTGTTTGTTTCTGCTGAAATAACTGAGATGTGTTGGTTTCAGCGGTTGTGTCCTCCTAGGACGCGGTCTACCTTGACTGGGTCCTTCGAGGTCTGTGAAAATAAGGAGCCCAGAAGAGTTTGGCTATGGATTCAAACAGGTCCTGCCTTCTTTGTCTTTCACCGCACGTACGATCTGTTGCATTGCAACCGTTACAGTTGACACGCAAAGCAGGCAAAAAAATGGATACCAAACTTCTCGCTACTGTTCAGGATGCTAATAACATTTTCGAGTAGTTTCAGCAGCAGTACCGTCGTCACAAATATATTTACAGTCTCTACACTGCACAGGTGTTGGAATCTGTGCTTAAATGTCAACCAAACCCATTTGCACAGGCATGGAGCAGCTGGCTTGCTTGGACTTGCGATGGAATATGGGATATATATGGCTAGATAGGATACACTGGACAAGTCCTTTAACACGGGCAAAAACAAGGATGGGTCCGTCTGCTGCATAACGAGGTGTCTTCAAATCTGAACAGGCTTCGGCGCCGTGCTATGATGTAATCAGCCGACTAATCTGGCCTTCCCAAGACGCAGCCGCTGTATTCGAACTCAGCAAAAATTTTGTCAGGTTACAACCACAAACTTTGATATATTCCATGTGATAAACCCACACTAAGTAAGAATTTTGACGTAGAACTTACTTTCCATTTGTAGTCCTTTTTATTTACAGACACCCCTAAATAAAATCTGATATACCAACCCCAGAATAATTCTGCTCTGATGTTGTTTATATGTGAGCAAACAGCATTAGAGAAGACCAGGGAACACTTCAGAAAGATGCTGACACAGAGATGGAGCTTTAGTAGAAGGATTTGGATCAAAGCATATTGATGTAAGAACAGTCCAGTTCAGGGGTGGAAAATGTGGGGCTCTTGGACCGAAGGCAGCTCTTCTCTCAGTTTTGTTTTGTGTGGCTCACTCAACAGGATTAATATGTCAAGGTTTTCATTTTAATCAGTTTATGGTGTACTTTATGTTGAAAAATCTTTTACTCTCCTCCGCTTTGCTTCTTTCAAGCAAAGACAGCAGTTTATTCCGCTTTTTTGCAGTTATTTCAACTGAATTACTACTAACATAGATAAATCAGAATGTCTTATCACTTCATGACACGAGTCCTGTTTGCTTATTGAAAGGAAAAAGGAAACAAAATTTATAACCTGAGCTTCTTGTCTGCAGATAATCTACATATCCATTTAAAAAGATTGTGAGGTTAAGACACCATTAAGTTTAAGTGAAGTTGGAGTTTCTAAAGCATAAAAACCTTGAACCAAGAAATGTAGTAACAGAGTTCACTCTTTACTGCACTTTCACATGGATTTCACAAGCATCTTCACCATGAGGCTTGCTTAGATACAATCTGGATCTTTTAATATATATAATATTGTTCATCATTTATAATGAAGTAATTAGAGGTGAACAGCCAGAAATTGTATTCCTAAATAGTGTTACCAAAGTATTATCTAATTTGAATAAAGTAAAAAATTACAATGCAGTAAAAATATAATAGAAATATATACCCTAACTTATTGACTCTGGTGGTCAATAAGTCAGGGAAGGTAAAGCTACAAGAAGATATGAAATGCAGCACAGAAAATTTTAATCTGAATGGATTATCTGTTGCAGCTTGGTCCGAAGACGACAAAGGGGCTCTGCCCTCTGTGAGGATGCTGACAGGCTAAGGCTGTTTTTTTATGTTCAAAAAATCAGTTAAGAAAGGAGATGAACTCATTTGAAAACATAAAAATGTTTATATTTGTGTCTTAAGACATTAAAGTTAGTAAAAATGTGCTCTTGTTGCTGAACTGGTTGGCCACCCTGGTCTAGTCAAGGTGTCGAACCAAACCAAGTTAGGAATTTTTGCAAGATTTAAAAATGTATTTTCTCAATCCATTCTTGTTAAACTTGAGCATCATTTGGGTCTCTGCATGTAAAGCTGGTCTGGCTCCACCCTGAAAGTCTCCCTATTGGAACTGCTTGGAAAGCTGCTTCTACAAAGTATTGATTCAAGACTGCTAAATACAAATGCACATCACTATTTTAGATATTTACTGAAAAAAAAAACATTTGTATAAATTTTCTTCCATGAAGCAACTCTGTTCTGCTTTTTTTGTGTCTATTGGTAATATCTCAATAACATGTGGTTTTCAATTATGAAACAAAATTTCAGTAGGTATGAATACTGAAGTTACAAGACAAAGTGAGAAGTAGTGTCTGGTTTCTACGTATCTACAACAGTGCTCCAATCTTTATCTGATTTATTTAACTTATACAGTGATAATTTTGTGGTTAATTTTCAGCGAAGCAGATAAGGTACCCATAGATGGACTCTCAATCAAGGCAAAGGAGAAAGATGGAGAAAAAGAAAATGAGAAGAAACATGGAAACGGTTCCAGCACAGTCGGGGCAGGTCCAACCAACCAGACAGCTGCTGTCCCACAGTGAGTATTTGCCGTTTAAATGCTGTTGTGGTCTGCGGATTGTAGATGGAAAAGGATAAGACTAACTATCTGTATGTAGTACAGTCTTATCTTGATGTGAAGGAATTTTAGTCAGCATGAGGTAATCAGGTAATCTAATTTCTTAACTTAATGTCCTCGACAGAACTTCAGAATAGTAGAAATCAAAGAGGTTGACTTGGTAATAATGAAAAAAGGATCTATTGAAAAGAATCTAGATCTATTTATAGTCCTAATCTCTTTGTTCTAAGCTAAGTGAGCTGCTGGAATAAAGATAGACTACATGCTTAATGAACTTTCTTTGGAAGCGAGTCTTCCTGTATAAACAGCATCTGGGCTTAGAGTCTGTGGCAGTGGTCCCCAAACTTTTTTGGGTCAAGGTACCCCTACAGATTTTTCCACCCAGCCGTGGTACCCCTAAACTGATAATGATTATTTGACATTATTTGATAATAATTATTTTTCTGTCATTTTTTCAAAGTAGTAAAGAAAACATAAAATGAAGCCCCTCGTCTTAGAATATATTTGCTTACATCAAAATTAATGTACAAAATTGTTAAAATGTAAAAAAGTTCATTCAATATAAAACTCTCATCAATCTATGAAAAAATCCTGCGGCACCCCTGTAGTGACCCCGTGGTACCCCTAGGTGCCGCGGCACCCACTTTGAAAACCCCTGGTCTGTGGACATGTTAGCTGCTGTCCGCTCTGTTTTAACCAGATTCTGTCATGTTGTGAAACCAGACAAGCGTCTGTCTGCTCTAACCTCTTTGAGCTCAGTGATTCAGAAGCAGCAGTGAAGCATATTTCCAGAATCTGTAGTTGTTTTTCTCAATGGATAGATGATTGCCAGTTATTTAATCACTTCAGTCTGGCCACATTTCTTACTTGCATTTTGTCCAAAGGTAAAAGGTGAACTTGGGATGTTATCATTATGCAAGGTATATTTTAAAAATGTTTAATTTGGAAATCTTATTAACATTGATGTTTTAAAGGGTATGATGTAAATTTATGATTTAAATGTATTTAAGTTTCCATGGAAACGATCTACTCTTCTGAACTAAATAAAACTGAATAACTGTTATTATTTCTATGCAGCACATCGTTTGTGTTTACAAAATAACATTATTCCAAAACTTTCCAGAAAACATTTATCTGTAGTATTATTATTTTTATTATTATTATTTTTTTAGTTTAGCTTATTTTTTTGTATTGAATTTGTGAAATTAACTTTAAATACTTTGGTGTCTATTTGGTGACAGATTTCTGCCATTTTCCCCTTAGACGATTGTCCCTGCCTCTGAAACAGACATTAACTCGTTGATTCATCCCAGCTGAGGTTAGGGTTAGGTGAGCTCTTTGATAAAATATTAAAAAGAGCACACTATTGATTCTTTTTTTGTAAAAAAAAAAAAAAAAAAAAAAATTCCTATAGAGCAGATTCCTATTTATTGTGTAAAGCAGTTTAATGTGCATTGTTGCTGTAGTCATTGACTTCCCTCGGCTGTTGGTGTCTTTTTAAAGACTGATGGTGATGATGTTGTCATCAGAAGCTTGGCTTCTCAGTGTCCATTCAGATTAAGGACCTCAGTCGCTAAATCCCAGATCATTGGTGGGTGTGTATTTAGGCCTCCTGCTTGTATCCCAGTGTTGGATGCTTAGCCTGCTTCTCTGACTTATTTAAACGACATTTTTTTTAAACAGAATTTAGCTTCAATTTTCAATAAAAGAAAATCCACCATAGATAAAGATCATTGCCGTGTTTATTTTTATTTTTTTTTATTTGATGCTAATTTCCATTTTATTTAAATATTTTAGTTTTTAATCATTTAGATCCCCTTTACTCCATTTGGTTGATAACAAGTGGTATCAGTAAATCATTAAAACAGACTTAAATTCCCGTTTGTTTGTTTTTCTTCTTTTGTGTTACAGAGAGATGCAGTCTCCTGCTAACGGACCTGCCTAACATGGCGGCTAAGTCCATCTTTCCACCTTTTTGTTCAACCTGCAGCCATACCCCCCCCCTTCTTTGCTTCCAGTTAGCAGCACCCCAATGCCCGTTTGTTGTGTCTGAAGACATGTAAGTGAATAAAGATCCTCTGTTCTGAGGTCGAGCAGCTTTAATGCTGGAAAGCAGGTATCCACACGAATAGAAATCAACGTCTCTTCCGCGCCTCCATGACATGATTACAACTGAGGTGCGCCAAGGCGAAAATGGTTTTGTAGAGCATTTCATTGTGCCAGACAGCCCAATTTAACTTGTTTTAATTTCAGGATCTCAGATTAATTGGGTCTTTTTTTTATCTAGCACAGGATGTGACTGTTTACACTTTAGTAATGAGAGCTGCATTGTAATATTCAGCCAGGATGCTTGGCTAGTTGCCATTTTCATCACCACTGACGTTAGCCAACCATGCGCAGACATTTTATTCTAAGAAATGTAAGCGATAATTATTTGTATTTGCTGCTTTAATTATTCTCAGTCTGTTTTCATTTGCTGTAATCACTGGGAAAGAAATGTTTGCACTTAGACTATTTGATTTTGAGAGAACCGTGTTTCACTTCTGAAAGTTAATATGTAGAAATGTGTGAGTGTGGCTGTGTGTGTGCGCGCTTCACATACATGTGTTTGTAGACATGTGTTTCTGTGTGTCGAGCTCTGTCTGCGTTGCAGAGTGTTATTCTCAGGTTTAAGGAGAGGTAAGAAGATACAAAGAAAGCACACCTGTGTAACACACACTTACACACAGTTCCATACACACATGTATAAAACCACCATATCCACAAACACATGCACAAAAAAAATATTAAATGGAAAGCAAAACAGGAAAAGAACACATGGTGATGATGTGCACATACCCGTTCATACCGCCCCTCAGAGGTGTTTCCGTGTAATATTGTGAATTTTTGAACCTGTATTAGGTTGTGGCTATTCTTGGTAATATGTAAACGTAACATCAATGTAAACATTATATATAAACATTATTATATCTATTTTTGGAATAAATCCGATTTGTTGAAATGAGCTCGTTTTGCAGGATGCGGTGTGCGCGAGTGTATTTATGTATGCGTGTTCTGTTGAAAGGCAATAATAGCGTCTGTTTCTTCCATTAACGGGCCAGCATCAGTTCCTGTTTCTTTGCTACTTGCTTCCTATATGGAAGTATAGGACGGAGCATGATGTGAATGCATGTCAGTAGACTGGAGGATGTCTTCCGCAAATAAGAGTCTCTTATATAAGATGATTCTGGTTCACTGCAACTCAAGTTGTTTTACCTTAAAAGATTAATTCTGATTGTAAGAAGGGAGTTATACAGTACTGCCTGACCAACTGTCAGACTCTGTTTAGCCATTTTATACCAAATTTGTTTCCAAATATTGCCTTCTGTGGCCAGACAGTTGCTACCTATAGGGAAAGGTTTCATTCCAGCTTAATTTATTGAGGATTGAAATATTTTTTCTGTATTATATTCATGGTTTAAGGTGAAAAAAGGATGAATAATGATATCCTTTATAATTTAGTTTTATTTTGCTTCACGGTTTTGTCACCTTCTATCTTATTTAACAATAAATTGGAATATAAAGTGTTAAAAAAATGTACAGTTAAATGGAACTATTGGGCATTTTTGGAATACTTATCTTCATATTTCTTCAAAAAAAAATGGCAAAAACAGAAAATGTGTTGAACTTTTTTGGTATAATACATAATCTGTTTGCAGGGATGGAAAAAATGTTTGCCAAGTAAAATGGGGATTGGAAATTAACCAAAATGAAACATAAAGATATCCTGCAAAACTGATAAAGAATGCCATCAATTTCCCAACCTAAATGTTTTATTGCAGATAAAATATTTAGGTTGGGTCTTCTGAGATGAGCTACAGCTAAATGTTAGAGTTAAATGATGCTCCCAAGGCTTAAACTTTTCTGCAGTTTCTGTGGACATAATCTAACAGAAAGCAGATATTCATGGATACAAATGTCCAAAGGCTCCATGTTTGGTTCTTTTGCACAGATTTACTGCACAGATTTTATTTTGGAAGGAAAAAGGTCCAGTTTTTTTCAGATATAATGCAGAGCCCAGTTAGTCAGACAGATTTATGATTTATTGCACTATGGAGGACATAAAATATCAGCATTTTCCTCAAGGCTGCTCTGGGAGGTCAGGGCATTCTTTGTGTACTTCAGTAGTTAATCCTAACCAGTATGGATCATAACAAGAACTAAAAAACTTTGGATGCGAGTTGTTTTAAACCAGAATAATCTGTTAGACTGGCCATCTTCAGTTTCCTCTAATTTTTACTCTTTCTCAGGGCAAGGGTTGACTTAAATTACATAAATGTCTCCTGAGTGATGCACAGATTGTTGAATTTATTAAAAGAAAGAATTTAGAAAAAAGGATTGTGTCCTATTTTTTTTTTTTTTTTGGTGCCACCTCGTCGCTCTCTACTCAAAGAGGCAGGGAAAGTTGGACTAGAAAAAGTTAATCATGTAGATACTGTAGTTTTTCTTCAGTGCTTTCTGCCAAAGTGTGTCTTCCCTCCAGTGTTACAGCTGGGCCTCATATCTGTGAAGTTGCCTGCTTTTTTGCAATGGTCTTTAACATCTAGATGTATGAAACGCAGCATCTTTTTGATTCTCCCCTTCTGTTTTAGGTTTTTAACGCCTTTATCCTATCTAAGAGCAGTAAAAGAAGACAGACTGGGTCAGAAAGATGGGAAGAAATGGCTTTGATTACACTTTTGACTTTTATCTGTCCAGGATGTTTGAGTTTGAAGTTTGAAGTCAGGGTTAAATAGAAATAAAAGTGTACAGGGTCAGAATATTTTGATTCTTTAATCAGACTTCTGCACCACCCAAAGTGTTTGTGTCTCTGTTAGAGTATAACGGGTATGTTGCAGTGTTCTGCATAAAGGCATGTGGTGACGATATGGTTAACTTTTAAGTGCCATTAGGTTTGCTCATCAGGGTTTTGTTTCTTTAAACCATCTAATGTCCAGTATTAACTGTGCCTTGCAAAGTTTTCATACACATTGATCTTTTTCACTTACCTTGATGCATTTCATTGGTATTTTGTGAAAGATCAACACAACGTGTTAAATTCTTCTAAAGCAGGACGAATATTGTACATTTACTATTTTTAGTTCATGACAAAACAAATCTGAATTGTTAATTTATATTTGCCCCATCCTAAGGTTGCTGCATCGCAGAAACTCCCTCCTGCTGCCATTACAGAAGCAGCCGCTCTTTTAGAGTGGGCCTCTTGCTTTTCCACATCTACATTGAATTTCTTCCATTTGTTGCTTAGTCAATTTTCAAGTTCAGCCAAAGATTATCCATTGGATTATGGATTCTAGAGTTCTTATTCAACTAGAGGCTGAACAACCCCCTTAAATCTAGAAACTTCTGCTCTCACAAAAAGCTGTTTTTGCAGTTAGATCCATTCATCTTATTTACTCTCATCAGCTTCCCTCTCCCCACTGATTACAAGCATCACCACAGCATGACACTGCCACCACCATAGTTTAAGATGGTGAGGTATTTCAGTGTTAGCTTTCTGTCGCACTTTCAGTTTGGCCTGAGCAGAGCATTTCCTGTATGGCCTTTTTTTGTTTGTTTTAATGGTGGCTTTCTTTAGGCCACTGTGTATTGCATAAAGAGTTTTCATGTCAACAAATGTCTCGTTTTTTGCAATTTGGAAAAGATGGTGAAGGCAGCAAAATAAAAAAAATGTGCGACGGTCTGTAGACTGTTTTGCTTCGCATATTTTATACCATGCAATATTTTCCCTGCCTTTCACCATTCTGAAACACTTTGTGTTGATCGATTGCAGGTAAACAAAATAAACCACCTGGAGATTTGTGGACCTAACATCATAAAAGTTCAAGCTATGTGAACACTTTTGCAAGGCATTAAAGTTTTTTTGCACTCTAGCTTATTTTTGCAGCGCGTTTGTGTGTAAATGTATGCGTGTGTGGAGGGAGGTGTTTAAGTGAACTGATGCTGGTGGGATTTTTTTTTTCCTTTGAGAGTAATGTGTATGTTACCTGTCGTCTCTTTAGCCTGTACATTCAGATATGAACCTAATAAACGTCAAAAAAAAAGGAAGAAACCTGAGTGTCTGTTTGTCCCACACTAACCACTCTGGGCCTGAGACTCATTCACAGAGCAAACAAAGCAGGTAGATGGAGAACAGGACTCCTCATATTCTTGTTTACCTGTGGGGCAGGTGGATTGGGTTGCCTTTCATCCACATTTGTGTTACACCCTCACATCACCTTCAGAAAGAAGCTGCCTCTCATTTTTCTACGCTCTGCTTTAGATCAGGAGTTCAAGACCCCTTTTCTGTGCTCCTGCACATCTCCTATTTGCTATTTTCATCTTGTAATCTTATCTAGATATCACCCGTGGGTGTGCGTCTCCATTCCACTGCTTATATGTGTGTCATGGCATTCCTACATAACTCTAGCAAACACACTGAACACACCTTCAGCTGCTCACAGCTTCTTTTTTATCTCTACTTCAGCAGTTTTCCAAAGTTTGCAAACTTTTGCACCTTTAGTCTGTCATCTGTACCTTCCTCCTCTTTCTGCACAGTGAAGAGAGTGAGTGAGTGGGTGGGAAGGAAGGAGAGGAAGGCGGAGTTTTTTTTAAGCTTTTATGGGTTGTAGAGAAACCTGCCTGTCTGCTTCCAACAGAGAGAGAGAAGAGGAGAAGGAGGAGCCTGTTGGGTGTGGGACTCCAGACAAAGGAGACATAAACACACTGACACTGGATCAGTGGAGAGAAAAAAAGAGACAACTGGAAAGCTTTTTTTTTTTCTTAACTTTTAGCTATAATTTTTGAAACCTTGTAAGAAAAGTGGATTTGTAGAAGTTTGTGTGTGAGCTGTACTGTATGAGCCTGTTTGCTAACTACTGAGGTATGTTTGTGTTGGAGCTGGGTTTCCCGTATGCTGCCCACAGTGAGCAGAAGTCTGTGGGTTAGTGTGTTTGGGATGGAAAAGTGTGGCTGGCTCAGCAAACAGCTCTGCTCTTAGCTCCACACCATGGGGGGCTGCCACAGTTACCCCTCAGCTACCAAGGTAGACAGCAAGACTCCTCAGCTGTCTGACATCCACAATGACAAACAGTAAGCTCATTTTCTTTACTACCCTTTTGTCCACCATCTGATCTTTGTTTTATTTCTACTGTTGTCCTGATCTACTCTAACAAACTGAAGAAAACTGAAACTACTATTAATAGTGAAGAAACTAGGCTGCACATGCTTCAGAGGAATGTCCTCCAGATAAAGCCTAAAAGTGTGTGTGTGTGTTACATATTTGTGTGATGCCATCAGTGATTGTGGGTTCCTCTTACACCAGTAACACATTATTCAGAAAACCTCTTATTTTCCAGCCTGCTGTCTGTGCTGATGAATACAGGTCATTTCAGCCCCACATCTGAGGTAATGCTGGACAGAAAAGCAAGGGGGGGGTTCTGTTTACACACAAACATAACATTATGAATGGCCTCCGGGTTCATTGTGTTTGTGTGCACTGACGACCGGTAGCCAGGACGCAGTTAATCGAGTTAACACGGTGAAGCCGCATATGAGCAGGATGTTAGTAGAAGAAGTTCCTGTGGACATTGGGGGAAGTTTGGCATGGATTTGCGCTACTGTACCGTGCACTGCAAATGTTTACATTCTTCACTGTCACTATTCATCCCCTGTGTGTGTCTTCACTGAGCTCTACCTTTAGACAAAGACCTCCTGTTTTAACCATTAAACAAATTTTCCCTCCACAGCCAGCACTCACACACACATATTTACAACCCGTGTGTGCGGGTTGGGAGTTGATACAGAGAACAGTGTTATCCTTATCAGAATAGGCAAGGTCAGTATGAGTAAACCTTCAGCTGCTGCGTGTTTGTCCGTGGATGTTTAAAAACTACATGGCAGCAGCAATATCAACTGTTTTTTCAAAAAACTGTCCTACATGGGTACCTAAAATGGAACCTTTTCACACTTTGTCACTTTAAAAATTACAAACATTGCATTTCTTTGGGGTTTATGTGAGACCAAACAAAATAGATAATTAATATAAAGTGGAAGGAATCTGATAGAGGGCTTCTAATTCTTTTTTTTAAACAAAATAAGTAAAGTGTAGCTTGTCCTTATTTAGCCACCATTACACTAATACTCCCCTGAAGTAGTCGCTAAATTGTTTCTATAAAGAGTCCAGTAAAGTCCAGCGGTATGTAACTCGGGGTTCCTATATAATACAGGAAACATAGTGCTAATTTTTGTATCTTTCAGGTGTGGATAGGTATGGGGGAAGTTTAAGATAAGTAGGAATAAAATATTTTTTTCCAAACATTGTCTGAACTTTTCTTTCCTCGTTCCTTGTATCCTTCTTCATTCTTCCTTTCATGTTTCCTTCCTTCCTTATGTCCTTCTTAACTACCTTCCTTGTTTCCCGCTATTACTAACAGTGTCCTTCTTTAGTACCTACTTTATAGCATAGTTTCTTTCATTCTTAATGTCCTTTCTTCCTGTTTATTCTAATATCCATCAGTTTTCCTCCTAACCTTCTGTCTTCCCTCTTTTCATTTCTTTCCTTAGTTTTGTTCTTGGTCCTTTCTCCTGCTCCTGGATTTTCTTTCCTTCCTAATCATATTTTTTTCAAGTTTCCTACAACCTTCTCTTGCTACCCTTCTTTCGTTCCTTCCTTTCAGATCATGGATTATTGCAATACTTAAACACCTGCCCAAAGCAGAAATATCTCTTTAAAAATAGGTTTTTCAGAAATGCTGATTAGAAAAAGTATGGAGTAGTTATAAGAAAACATGTAGGATCCTCTGTAATATAAACAGAATATAATTCAGTGTAATTACTGAGAATATTTCTAATAAAACATTTGTAAAATAAAAAATAAATAAATAGCCTTAAAAAGGAAGTCGGAGATTAAGTTTTTTACCAGTTTAAGCCAGGATTAGATTAAAAATATCAGAATTTTGAGAACTCAATGATCAGACTCTGATCAAGCATAATCTACAAAACTATTTTAAAAAAGAAAGAAACAGCTAAACAGTTCTGGTGCTGATCTGTTTTAAAGTTTTCTACAATTCATGCATTGCAAAAAAATTTGCCTGCATGGATGAATGGGAAGACGGAGCCTTTTGTAAAAGAAAGCTGCAAGAAATATCACAGGGTGCTGCACATATAAAGGTGCTTCAAGGGTTCAATATGTATCTGGGGAAACACTGTACAATGGAACAGTAGCACAGCACATCCCCCTGAACACACCAAGCCCAAATTAGTGACATTATTAACCTTATCAGAGCAGGAAGATTGATGTTGCTAAATACAGAGCAATCCTGGAAGCAAACCTGTTAGAAGCTTTAAAAAAAAAACAAAAAAAAAACTTGACACTTTGACAGAGTTGTACCTTCCATCAGGATAACAACCAGAGTAAGAGCAACAGTGGAATGCTCTCATCAAAGTTTATTGAATGTGAAAATGTCCCAGTCAAAGTCCAAACCCGAATCCCGCTCTAAATCTGTGGCAAACTTCTAAAATTGTCATCTGTAGACCATCTGTGTCCAGTCCAGCTTCAGACAGACATTTTAAATGTTATTGGTTAAAAAATATATATATAAAAAAAACTAACATCACAAAATGTAGAGTTTTAAAAAGAAATGCACGTCTTTTAAACAAAGTAGTGACCTTTCTAAACAGAGAAGTCAGACCTACTTTAAATAGTCAAATTACGCTGCCAAGCTAGACTCTCCAGGATATGTTGGCATTTGCATGAAGCATTATCTACAGACACTCTTACTAGAAAATGTTCCCAACACATTATGTAGTTCTACCTTAGGACTGGGAAATGATGCATGGTGTAAAGCTTTACCCCTCCCTGTTATTTGCTCTGCAGCAATGACCTTTGCAGCAGTCAGCATCATTAACAATAATTACCTTAGCACTGAACCGACTGGCTTTATTGCATTAACTGCTGAAGTAGTGCTGTTATTGCACTATTTTTTTATGTTTTTCCCTGATGTATGAGCCTGCCGGAAAAGGGGCAAGACAGACGAGCATATTATCTCCAAACTGCAGTACGAATAATTAATCCACTTTTTAATACAGCACTGGTTGTATATTCCCCAATTCTGCAACCTTTCTCTTTTTGTTCCTTCGCTCCATTAACTTTGTGCCATCTTCCCAAGCGGAATCAACAACAATAACCAGGAGGAACGTCCGTATTTGCAGCAGCAAAACGCCTGCCAGAGAATCACAAGCGCTAACATGTTTGCGCTCACGTCACTGCCGCCTGGTATGGACAGAGCGGAGTGGCTGGCCTCCAACAGTAAGTATCAGCTGATGTTTGTTCTCCACTATGGACACCTGGAAAAAAAAATAGCCACTGGTATTCATGTCTGATCTGTTTCAGCTGTGGCTTTTTTCAAGCACGTAAACCTGTTCTCCAGCGCCCTGTCAGAGTTCTGCACTCCCAGCACCTGTCCAACCGCTTGTGGACCAGGCAATGTGTGAGTTACTGAGCATTACACTGCAACCAAGTGGAGGTTGGTGGCCTTGCCTAAAATTATACTCAATTAAGAGAAGCATTTCTTCCATATGTTAATGCTAAAGTAGAAGTAAAAGATAGTCCTCCAAAATATGGTAGTATATGATAAAAGTGCAAGTACTAATTACATCATAATTATCTGACGTAATGTGTGAAAATGATTAAGACTGATAAGAATATGAAGTAATATACCAAATCATGGGATTTAAAAAAATACAAGAACTAAGTCAAATAAATGGCATGATAAATTAACTAAATGAAGCAGGATAAGCTCTTAACTTAATAACTTAAAGCAGTTAAAAACAAGTAATTGTAGTTGGTTGCATACAATATGCACGTTTAATAAGTAATGTCCCTGTCCCACTTCCAGGTGTTTGATCGACCTGAAATTTTGCATGCGAAGTTATTTAAATCTCTATTGATTAAATAGCATAAACTAATGTTGGTTTCTGATTTACAGCTGTTCAAACTGAGTCAAATCTGTGTTTTTGCATTTGAAAGGACGCACCTAATGGGATACTTTTGATCAAATGAAAGTAACTTATAGTGATAATCTCCCATAATATAACCTTGTTAAACATTTTGCAAGGTCATATAATGGGCATCATCACTATAAGTTACTTTAATTTCTTGAAAAGTCTGCTAGACACTCAACAGGCTCCATTTCAGACTTTAATCAGTTCAAACACCTGTAAGTTAGAAACCACAAATTGTTCAGAGCTGTAATTTGCTACTTAATCTATAGAGATTTAAATAACTTACGTGCAAAATTTCAGCTGGATCAAACATCTGGAAGTTATATTAGTTATATTTTATATTCCCCTGACACTAAAACTTTGCAGCAGTGCTGCAGATTATTTTACATAAGTCATTTTATGTTGAATCAAACTGTTAATGTGTGCTTGAAACTTTTTTTGGTTAAAACATTATTGCTCTTTTTTTCTTTTTCCTGAAAAACGTAAGTAAATGTTGCTGAGTAAACGTAACTAGTTTCTACCCAGGTACTGCAACCAAGAGATTTTAACCCATCATACTCTCAAGTTGCTTTAATTCAAAGTATTATTTACAAGGAATAGCCCCAAAATAAACTATTGTGGGTGAAATAAGATGTTAAACAACACCTGTATAATAAGAATGACCTTTTTTTTTCTCAACGTCTGACATTAAATCAGGTTAAAGGTTTTATGTCAGATAAGTTTTTTTTTCTTTTTTTTTATATATATATATGTTGGATACATTCACACATAATTAAAGAGTCCATTCAGAAACATCAATCATCTAGGTTGATGCCAATAGACAGTGAACCTCAGTATAGGACCTAATTTGTAAAGTGGTTTCAAAGAAAACAAAAATAATGTTTTGGGACAAAACCTCAATGTGTCAGAAAATGTGTGAGCAGAGATGAAAACGTTTGTGCAATTAAAATAACTTTTATCATGAGGCAAGGGCCAGTAAAAAGCAAAATAAGGATAAAGTTTGTTGAAGAATGCAAAAAAATAAAAAATAAAATAAATGATTCAAGTCATACAGTTTAAAAGGTGATTCTACTAAAGATATAGAAAATATATTTAACAAAAAAAGGGTAGAACTTTTCGGCTCTCTAGAACATTATTTTTACTTCCCCGCTGCTTTTGGACACTTTTTTCATTTCTTATATATAGTATATAGATTTTTATGCAAACGTACACTAACATGTTTTGTGTACTTTTAAATCGCTATACCAAACCACACCCTGATTTACTAACTGTGCTTTATTATCATTATGTTGTGGATCTTCTCCTACTGTACAATCCCTTATATTGTTTACCTTTGTTTGTGTGTCTGCATGCTTTCATTCCCTTTCACTTGGCTGCCACTGATGCACCTGAATGCACCTTCCTTTCTATTGTTTTTAGCATTTAGCTTAAAGGAATGTTTTTATGTGACCTTAAATAATGTTTAAAAATATATGATCTGGTTTAGGCTGAATGTATATGAATCAAAATGTCCATCTTGTTATTTGATAGAAGTTATAAAAACAAAGGATTTGAATAGAGGCTTTTCCAAACAAGTTCTGTAAGCTCTTATAGAGCGCTAAAAGCTTTAATCACAAAGAAACTACTTTCTCTTTGTGATCCAACTTTAGGTTATATAAAAAGCATGATGAAATACAGAACAAACCCATTCTAAAGAAGCTGGGTTATTGCTTGAAGGGGTTGAGCTTGGTGGATGTGGTGATTGCTGATCATCAGTCTGAGAAATCTGGTACATTTTATGTCTTCTTTTCTTCCATCACATAGTCCAATAAGGGTTGACATTTGTTCAACTAACTCCACCCAGACCCTGCTCCCATTTAAAGGTTTATATAATACTTGGCATCCCTAAAAAAAACAGCATGAATCATTGCACTATAAGTGCAGTTTTAAAGACTGGATTTTATGCATGCAAAAATTAGTTCTTTGAATGTTAAAGTCTTTATCAAACTGAATTGGAGATCTGTCATTTTAGATTAAACATGCAGAGTCTAACAAGCAGAGATGGCAAAAGTACTCACTTTCCGTACTTGAGTAAAAGTACAGATACTTGTGTTAAAAAATACTCTGGTAAAAGTGGAAGTACT